AAGGAAGCTTGAAATAAATTTTTTTCACCCCTTTCCTCAGATTTCTAGGCCTGAAAAGAACTTGTGCCTGCCTATGTGGAATTATTTGGGCTGAAGCACAACTATCCTAAGCTTTTCAGGATATTCTCTATTATCTGTGAGCATCACTTGAGTGTAAACACTGCATTTGAAGGAGATAAGCTCCCAAGAGCTGGGCTTTTCACCTTTTGAATCAGATATGCTAGTAGACAAGTCACATGGTCTTACAACATGTCCAGCTTTCTGAAGCAGCCTTTGAAACCTGTTATGGCCTTTAAAGGTCAAGACATTGCCTACTTTAAGTGCTTGTGACACTTGGCTCAAGTAGAAGTTTGCACAAGGGCATGGACCAAACACTCTGGTCTTTCGATTTTCTCCTATCTCCTCTCTCACTTTGAAGGTGATTATTTAAGTGATGAGTTAAGTGACTTCTGATTTCTGAGGTTTTTCAGGATGGAGTACATGGAAAATCTAGTACGTGCATACAAAGTGTACTTTGGAGACAAACTGCAGAACGAACCATGTGATTTGCATTCCTGGTTTGAATTCTGGTTTATTGTCCCAGTCATGGGACAATAAATGTCTTCAGCCAGCATACCTGTTTCCTTTCCTGTAGTCAGTTGAAATGGTCACATCCCTGGAGCAGGGAGCCTCTCTTTATATCATAAGCCTTCATTTCTTTAACATTTGAATTATTCAAAGGAAAATTGCAAAGTAGCCGAGAGATCAGTTAACAGTAAAATACAAATTATTTCTTGCTGCAGCCATGGGATGAAGGAAGCAATTTTCTAGAGGAGCTTCCCTTCCCATCTACGAGTAGCTTCAAGACTCTTAGCTCACTTCTTTAAAAGATTGATCTCGATTTTATGATTCTTTTAATCAGTTTTGTTTGCTGGGGATTAAAGGCCTCATCGCAAATCCTGTCTCCTCCAGGGCCTGGTGCTGCTAATGCTGTCCCGCATATCTGTGCCCGTGGCCAGCCCTGTAACAGGCTAGTGAAAGTGTGGCATGAAATCTAGCCATGAAGACCGGCTCTTCACACATGCCCTGAGGGCTGATCTGCTGCTCAGGTGGCATGTGGCAGTGCTGCTGGGCCTGCTCAGCAGTTCCTTCCCGATGCTGGCGGGACTGGCTGCTTGGTTGGTTGTTTTTAAGAACGTCATAGCTGGTCGTAGGAACGTAAATCCTGGCAAGATCATAATGCAAAGCCTACTCAACAGCTTCAGTCACAACTCTGAACTGTTGGGCTCCTGGCAATTTATTGTAAGCTCTAATGCGGCAATTTTTCTTCCATTCCCTATCAACTTCAAATGTTTTATATTTATAAGTCAGAGTTACATTTCTAATTAACAAGTTGAAGGGGTAAACTGTTTGGTTCCCCCTGAGACTCATTTTCTTTCACTTTCTCTTTTGGTTTCAAGGAGCTTTTATTTTAAATCTTGGTCAAAAGCTGCTTCACATATTGTCAGCATGTGTAGACAGTGTAGGTGACACAGATACTGACAAGTTTCTGGAATGTCAGAAGGAAATGATGCTGAGTTATTTTTCTACAGTAAGCTAGAGTTATTTACTGAAGCTTCCAGTAAAGTCCTTTTAAACTTTATGGTTATGTGCTTCAACTTTTGTCTACAGAGTCTCAGAAATGCTTAAAATCTAGGTAATGAAAAACATGTTTTTCGTACGTGGGAGTTATCAAGAACTTGTTGATAAGAAATCTAGAAAAACCTCCCTAGCAAAGAAAAACAAAAACTTAGATAGTCGAAAACCCATCACAGGGGTGGGCTCCACCTTCAAGGTAAAAGCTGATTAATCACTTTTATTAGGTGACTTGAATGCACTGTGAGCATGGTGTCTCTTCAGTTCCCTGTGTGGCCACTTCAATGAAGCTGGCTCCTACCTTCAAAGAACTAGCTCCTTTTTTGACATATCCAAAGCAGAGATGGGAGATGGAATTGTGCTTGTCTCTTTCTGTACATGTGTGTGATCTGAACTACACCAAATAACTTGTGCTGTTCTTTTTTCTGTGCTTAGAATGGCAAGTCTCATCTAACTACAAAACAATCAAAACATTTATGAGAAAGACTGAATCAAAGTTGTTCTTTTTCCTAGCCAGGCTATGAGTTTGTTCTTGAACACCATATAGGTAAGCCCATGTGGGGATGGTTTTTGTGTTGAGCCCTTCCAACCTGGATTTGTTATCCCTTAAAGCAATCCCCCACTTTACAAACTGGCCAGTTGGAATAAATAGGACAATGACAATATGGACTGTGTGTCAACAAGGTTGCAGGGTGAGTGTGTTGGCAAGCAGCTCACCATGGCTGAGGATGTGGTTTCAAGTATTAAATAGCAGTTGTGGTAGATGTTTGCCTGCTTTTAATCCCTCCCTGTGTGTCAGAACTAACCCACTCTCATACTGCACAGGAAGAAGAAATGTGCTCACCTTTTTCTTCTGAATACAGAAGGAATTTGCACCATGTTGTCCAACTTGTTACTGCTCACCTCAGTGGAAACAGCTTGGTAGGACAGGCTAGAGAAAATAAAATGTGACTCCTTATCCACGTCCCATTTCCTTCTTCCATAGAATACATGACTGTGTTCTGATAACTTAGGTCTAATTAATGGGTTTGGGGCCCACAGATGGCACAAAGCCTTTGGGATTGGAATTCAGTGGGGTGTCTAATTCCAAATGAAAGGACACACAGCAAATCCTTAATCTACTGGGAGCCGATTGAAACAACTGTTCATATGGGAGCAGCTTGTATTCAGGCAAGAGACTGTGTCATCACATTTATTTTAAACTTATTTAAGAGAATTAAGAAAAATTGTCTTCAATTACTTGCAACTGGAAAGCCAGTCCTTTCCCTGTTGCCCTTTGAAAACTGTAGGATTAGACAGCATCACTGCAATATGCAACCTGTTTTGCCATAGCTTCAGTTCTTACTGACAGTCTGCTGAGGACTTATCCCAGCCACAAGGAGTAATCTCATTCCAGGATTGTTGCTTTATAATGTTGCACCTGGAGTGAAACATCCATTAGTCAAAGTGTAGGATACAAGTACCACCAAGTGAAATGAGAGGCTTCTGGATTTGATACTAGACTTCAGTCTTTTCCTGGACGCCTAGCTCTTACAAGTGGGATGGTAGAGAGAATATTACAGATGTTTTTCTGCATCAGGAAGCTTATTAGTACTCCAGCAGGACCCAGAAATCCCAGAGCAGGATTATGGCTTCATTGCCTGAGATCTGTGCAGAGGTCACATGGAAATGTGGTCCCTGCTTAAAGAAGTTTGCAAGGGTAACTTGATATGAGATGGTGCATAGATGCCTGTCAATTTGTTTCTGATTAATGAAGATGCGTAAGTGAAGCTGATTGGAAACATACCAGTACTTTCTGAATTACTGCGTCTTACAACTGCCTGTAGGGTTTCTGGAATAGTATTGTACTATTGACAGTTGTTAATACAGAGTTTGGGGACTGTGTTCTTCTCTGGTCCTACATATCAAAGGCTGATCTCCACATAGGAAAGCTCCACATAGGAGGGTGGCACAGAAATGAGAGATATCTGTGTATCTGCAGAGTTCTACAATGGAGAAGTGGTCTCAGCTGCTCTGATAAACTGAAATTCAGGGTCAAAAAAAAGAACTTTTTCTCCATGGTACCATCTAGTGTGCCAGAATCAACTAAGCTTTAAGGGTGCTACTGCATGGGAAACAGTTCCTTAAGGTAATTATTTGTAAAGCCTTTGCATTTAAGAAAAATGTCTATCTCTTGGTTGAATGAAAATATGTTTCCATATGTGATCTGCATGTTAAGTTTTACATACAGATGCACATACAAACAATTTTGGAATCCAGAATACAGAGTATCAGGAATAAAGGTACTGGTTTTGGCAGCCCAGAGCTAATTTTTAAGCTGATTGGAGAAAATGACTTTTTGAAAATAGATTCATGGGCAGTCTCCTGTAGGGTTTTGCTTACAATGTCAGGACTCTCCCGGAATGCAAAGCATTCCTCTGCTGAACTGTGTCTATATAAGTAATGAGATCAGATTAAGACCAGAAAGCAGGTTTGTCTGCTACTATTCCAACCTGGCATTTGTTGTGAGTGATTTTTAGAGTTCGCCTTTTAATGTTGTCTCTTCTAGGACACAAGGAAAATCCTATAAATCTTCCTCTCTTCCAGTTATCCTGGGTCACAGAGAGGTTCTTGCTTCAGGGTAATGTGACCAACTGCTCTGATTGCCAAAGATCACATACCAGATTGAGATCGGGAGTTTAAAGCAACCAGGGTAGTATAAGATAAATTTAACCTTTAATTGTCAGTCTGACTACTCAGAGCTGTCCAGTTCTTTCTCAGTGGATATATACAGTAGGGTTAGAGCTTCCCTTATTTCTTAGCATATTATTATTTTTTTTCTCATCATCCTACCTTGGTTTTCAAGTTATTAATGCAACTATAATTCCTGAAACATATTTTAAGTTCTGTGTAAAGGTGAGTCCCAAGGAATTGTTACTACTTGAGCCTCTAAAACTTTGAACAGTGCCACTATCATTCTTACAGATTTAAGTTCCAGCTCTACTTTCTGTGAGGACATTTGCCATAGTACTTTGATTTTCTAAGTTTTCTAATTTGACCCATTGATCAAAGGGCAGTTTCATTCAGTGAAAATACTATTGTTCTTGATGGTTGTTAGGAAACAAATGGTCTTGCATGCTTTTTTTTGTTTGTTTGTTTGTTTTTTTTAATTTTCTTTAATTACTACAGTTAAGAAAAAAAATCAGGGAAGGAAGTAGTATGAGCATGGAAGATTCACCAGATCTTCACTCTCAGTCCCTTCAATGCCTTACACATTTCCATGAAGTGTCAGGTCACTGCATTCTATGTGTTAATGGACTGACAAGCATACAACGTTTGGACAATGGCTACTCGTGCTATGGAAGCACTCCTGTGTTACTAACACCAGACCTTTCTTGTGCCTTCAGTGTGTCAGGAAACAGTCTGGGAGGTCTTCAAAACATTCTGGGACAGGCTGCCAGAGCGTGAAGAATATAATACCTGGATGAGCCTGTGTGAGGAAGGAATTATGAGTATCTTTGAAATGGGCACAAACTTCAGTCAGTCGGAGGAGCACCGGAGTCTGATTGAGAAGGTGGGTACAGCACCTGCTTGGTGTTCCCTCATGGGGAGAGCATGATGTCCCACTGCGATGTGGAACTTGGCATATCACAGGCAGCAATGTGGGGAGCCCTTAAAATGAACAGGCATGAATATTCCAGCTCTTGGATCCATAGTTCTGAGATCAGTTCCAAAAGTTATGGCTGATCTAATGGAGGGAGAAGCAACAGCGATGAAGAGACTGTTGTTTTCCATAAGGATGTTCCTGACAAGTAGATGGTGTCTGACCCCTTGTCTGAAAAGGCAGCATGACGTGGGTCAGGTTGTGGCACGTTTCCCCCTGTGACATGTATCAGCCTTCCTGCTCTGAGCTGCACGCCGAGATGCCTTCAGTCCAACTGGCACTTGGAAGCAGGAAGGTCTGAGCTGTATTTCTGATGCTACCAAGACATATGGCAAAATTGCCTGTTTGTAGTGTCTGCACACTGCTGCCTGACTGAAGTGAGAGTACCTAAAAATATAAAAAGCTCTGGTGTACTATGAAGGCAATTGATAACATTGTCGTCATGGAGAGTTGCAGAGGTTAAAACCAGAGTATAAAACAAGGTAATAAAAAAAATGCTGAATATCTTGGTATTATTGTCTATTATTTCAGTTTGAGCAAGCTTATTTTACCTTAAAGATGACAAAAGGGGCATTAAGCCAAACTAAAGAACCCTATCTCAAATAAAATACCAAGATGTATTTTCAGGAGTTTGTGAATTTTAAAATTAAGTGCTTAACTTTGCATTCATCTAAAATACAGTAGATAGCTTAATTTCTCTGGATAAAAGGCTGTCTTAAAATGTATGGTGGCTTATGGACCTTCTTTAAGATTAGAGTGTCTTCTACTTTTGAAAGCTAATCGATGAGTAGTTTCATGAAACTTATGGTAAGTCTTAAATGTGTGATCCCATAGAATCAGTAATTTTCAGCCAGTGTGGACATGCTGATTTTTTTCCCTTCTGTTTTTCTATGGACTCATATGCTAGGAATGTGCACTAAGGAATGTGAATATGGAAACTGCTGTGGGTAATGGAAACAAGGTGGTTTTGTGTTTTTTGTTTTTTTTTTCCCTGAGCCTGCATCTTAATCTTTATAGGTGATGCCAGCCAGTTTGCTTCTGTGATGTCTGATGATGCTGTTATCCTTAGAAGACTTTGCAAAAAGATTGAGAGAAATAAAATTAATTTGATTTTTAATGTGTACAGTGCACGTATCATTGTTTTATGTAAAATTTTGGCAGTGAGATGATCTATAGTGGGAGCATATTAAAAGAAATCAAAATGACTCTTCCAAAGAGAGTGATGTATCTAACCTCCCACTGTTGCTCTACATTTTTGGCTGTGGCTCTGCAGCATTACAGTGGAGTCAGATAAACTGTCCTGTGTTTAATGGTCTTTTCAGGTGGTTTATGTGTAATTTAGGTTTCCTTTCTCCTGTAGATAGATATATTCCTTTCAGCATTGCAATATTCCAGAAAAAGGCTGTTCAGCCTTCTATTTGCTCTCAGCACAGCTGGTAAAAGGTGACAGTTGTTGGGCTGATTTGATAGCAGACTAGTCAGCGATAAGAGGGACTGAATGCTGTCACCACTGTGCTCCACATAAAATGTCACAAATCCGTCAGGTGACTTGTGTTGAAATAACCTGAGCTCAATTTAACTTTGAACCAGAGACTGAAGGCAGGAGCACTGTGTCACATCCTCCAGTCAGCCACCTTCAAAAGATCCAATAGTGTATTTTTGAATACATAGGTCAGAGTGTGAGTTTAATTGCTAGTTCTAGTACTGACTCACCGTTTTCCTCTGTGCTCATGCACTAAATTTTTGTCAGAGTGTGAAACCTTTTGAAAGCAGCTCTGAGAATCTTAAGTTCAAACAGATTCAGTGAATACATCTCTGCTTTTAAGAACATCCTTCTTCCTGCCCTCTTGTTCTTTCCACTTAACTCTCACCAGCTAGGCTGACCAAGCTGCATGGTCAAGCCTTTCCACTATTTGTGAGGCTGCCATCATGTCACAGTGCACAGTACTCTGTGGTGTGAAAGTGTGATACATGTGGAATAGTTCCCACTCTGTTGCTTAAGAGGAAGATTCACTTCTGCCTGGCACTGTAGAAAAGCAGCATACATAGTTAGCAGTAGTTTTTTTGTTTGGCCATTACATGCCTCATTAAATACCACTTCTCTAATCTTCCTTTGCTCTCTAATGTCTGTAAATCATCTGTGGTTAATTTCAAGAGTTTAGTGTAGAGCATGCAGCTGATAAAAGTAATTCTGCTTTTCCTTTGGCATATATTGGCTGTTACTGCAATAGCATTGCTCTACTGCCTCTTTTGTATTGGGCATGTTGGTAGTTTCTGGTGGTCTTATTTCAGAGTGTCTTTTTGCATTACTTTTTGGTAGATAGCAACATGAAATTTAATTTTTAGATGTCCTGCGTGCTGTGAATTTTCCCTTTCTCTCTCTCAAAAGAAGTTCTGCATATCTGAAAATTAGGAAAAATAAATCTGTGGGATTTTCAAATCCATAGCAAAATGCAGCTTAAAGCATGATACTGGAGTGCTTCCAGAGTAAAGTTCTGTCTGCCCCTTGCATTTCCAATGTGGGCATGTATTAGGGCAAATACATCTTTTGTGGCAGATTCCATGTCACAATTTCTACTTCTCCAGGCTTCAATCAAATTTCAGAAAATAAAGTTTTACTGAGTTGCTGTTCCTTATAGATCTGATGACAATCTACAATGACAAGACACTGAGAAAAGTGTTGAAAGGCTTTTTGCCCAGGAATCCCCAAAACTGTGATGAGAGCTGCTAACCTACCAAAAGGCAACCTGAAAAGCTCCTGGGACAAGATACAAACCCCACGATGGTGTTGACTCACCAGTACTTTTATTTTGCAGCCCATCAGTTTCAGAGTATTTGCAACACAGGCTAACTGCTCAGTGACAGATTAGGGTAAAAGGGGCAGAAGACTTAGGATGCCTGAAGGGGTAGACCATTGTCCTTCTTTGTTTAATCACACAATATTCTGAGTTGGAAGGGGCCCACAAGGATCATCAAATCCAACTCTTAAGTGAATGGCCTATACAAGGTCAAACCCACAATTCTGGTGTTATTAGCACCATGCTCTAACCAAATAAGCCAATCTCAGGGTCAGTCAAATGTCCCAGCCACAGTTTCCAGTCCTTTACATTTTTTTCTTTGCATAGAGCACCTCCAGATTCTTCTAAAGCTAGAGAAAAGCAGATCCTGTCTGCTCTTTCACACTCTACATTCCCCTTTATGGACGCAAAAAAGAAATTCCCTTACCCTCCTTGAACCATAATGTCAGATTTCCTTCAACTTCTTTCTTATTCCTACACTTACTGTTCTCCTATTGACTTAGACTCTTTTAATTGCAAGGTTTAGCCTTCTCTAACTTCAAAGAAAACCCCATGACCTTTGTCACAAATATGCAAATAGAATAATTCCCCTTAGTTTCTTCTTCAAATCTTGCCTCATCTCTCTTCCATCTCTTAGGCAATTTCTCTGTTCCCTCTCTCTGGTCACTCTGCTCCAATTCCAGCCTAAGTCTTCCTTTCTGATCTCTGCTTTGCACCTGATACAGCACAAAAACTGTCAACCATGAAGCCTGTGCTCATCTCTTTCCAGGCAGAGCTCAGAACCGATGCTTCATCCTCATCAACCTTGTCCAATCAGATCTTTTACTTTGCAAGTCTCTAGTTTTTCCTCATTTTCTGTGTTTTGCTCTTTGTTTCTAGATAGCACTGCCTAACACACACTGAAGAATTAATTCTGTGTTGGAAGTTCACCTCTGCTGTGGAGCTGATTCCTTCTGGACAGACTGGAACCTTAGCTTGTTTCTGACACCTTTCCATGGATCGCTAGCCTTCGTTTCAAGTTATGGTTAAAACAATATCTGTTCCATTAAGATGTCCCTGTTATCTCTCCTCTTACTGTAGACCATATTTTTTCTACCTTACCTGTTAGGGATGTGCCTAGGGAGGGAGCCCTGCTCCCCATTCTTATTTTCTCTCCAGTTTCAGTTCTGGACATTGTGATCCATTTCCTTGAATTATCCCCAGTGCTGTGGCCTCGTCTTTATGAGAACATGGTTCTGCCATGCACCATGGTGGGAATGGCAGAGAGAGAATCATTTCTTGGTATGACTGTCCTGTTCTGAATGAAGTGTATATGTGGTGTTAAATCAAATATGCTTGGTACAATACTAGACAGATAGGATTAAACTAATATGAGATTATTTCAGACCTCCTTGACATTTCCTCCACCTTTTTCTCCTTCCTGGGATTACCTCCAAGATATTTTGTCTTCTATGCATAACAACTGTGTCTTAGGATCAGGCTAGAGTATCCTATATAATTGCTTTTCTGCAAGCTCGTAAGTTGACAAAAGCTCATCCAGTTGGTACTATATGTGAGTTGTGGTGTTGTGGGCTTGTATTCAATGCTCTGGACTTGTATTAATTACGTTATATAAAACTAACTGTTGACAAAGGGGAACACTAGTGCATTGACACAAAACTCAACTCCCAGCTTTACAGGAATTGGTATAATAATGATGTTAGGAAGAGAACTAATTTTGTACAAAGCATCTGCCAGAGGTAGCTTCACTCAGTGAAAGCTCCCCTTGAGCTTTGGTGTGGCTGCTGCTGTTATGTAGAGCTATTTATAGATCATTTCCAGTATTCAAAGGGTAAAGACATTAACTAATCTTCACAGGTCCATGTGCAGGAGGTGTGTTTCTAACTCTGGCTTCTTAATGACGGAACTGAGTCAGAGAGTTGAGGTGTTTTGGCAAAGGCTTTTCTGTATTAAATGAGAAACAAAGCCAGTATTAGAACTCTACAGCCTGTGTCTTCTAATTAGAGGAAAAAAGGTGCCTGTTCACAATGAAGTTGAAGTATGTCAGTGCTTGCCCCCACCCCAGACTGGAATGCAAATTAGACCTTTAATAGAGGAAGACAGTCACACTAAAAACTATTGCAGACCGTGCTGGTTTAGCAATAGGGGATGCTTCATTTTCACATCCTAAGTTGAAAAACCCCTGCATTTATCAATACAAAAAACTAGTCTTATATTGCAGTCTGTAGGACTGATCCAAAATGTGTGAATCTGTTTTTCAGTCCTCTGTAGACTGTAAGAAGCTGAAGGCTGGGTATTCAGATCATACTTTCCTTTCAAATTTACTGTAAATGCTAAGATTTTGCCTGTGGTATAAAACTGCAAGGTGGTAATTGTCTGTGTGTAAGCTTTGTATTGGCATTTGGGTTTTGATGGGTCATGGTCATACTTTTATCAACTCATTTATAATTCAAAGTTTATGCCTTTTTTTTTTTTAATAGCTTTACAGCATTATATAGCAAACAAATATACAGTGACAGTTTTTATTTTGCATTATTTTGCAAAGCTGCTGTTGAATCCAGAGGGATATTTCATCTGAGAAAACATGGTAAAAAGTCCAGTCATTCAAACAGTCATTTAAAGCATGTAATCCTTTAAAGGTATTTTGTTTAATGAAATATGTGATTTGCAGTGAAGAGAGAATATTCTGTCCTGAACTAGGTGAATTAAGGAAAGTCCAGCTCCCCTATGCAGAGGCTATCATTCACAGGCAACCATACAGTATTAGGCTGTGCTAGTTTACTGCAAGATTGGATGAGAATTCAGTAATTTGATGCCTTCTCAAAAACATAAATGTGGAGATGGTGTGTAATGTTTGTTATTCTAGGCCTTGGCCGTTAAAATAATAATTTGACATTTCAGATTTGGCTCTTAGAAGTTCATTTTAAAATTCATGGAATAGGTAACTCGGAAATAACCAGATATGTTGGTTAAGTCCAGGAACCCAGGCTCAGGAAATCTGGGAGCCCCCAGCTCCTCAGGCTGCCCTGCAACAGAATTTTCATCCAGGCACCCTGCACTGGGGTGTTTTGCTCTAAGAAGTGTTCAGGATTACACTGACCTCTGCTGTCAGTGACCTTTGAGGATCCGTGAGTAAAGCTGCTGGATACAGACCAACAGGTGGTATTGATAAGATGTGTGAGGCCTGTAATAACCAGGATTGTTTTTAATAGCACCTACAAACCATCTTGACTGCCTGAGCAAGTCTCCTTTTCTAATGGACAAACACTTTGCACTGTACAAGCTACTACTTACAGATAACTTTCCAAAATCTTGTAGCGAGGGAATCAGTCTCTCTGTTCCTTGTAGATCCCAGTGCACTAAGGCTGAGTACAAGTACTGTATAGAGCAGTGTAATGACCCCTTAAAAAAATCATCCAAAGTCCAGTACAGCTTTAGTGGCCCCAACTTAGAGTTTTCACTGTAGACTACCTAGTTTCTGTGTTTGTCACTTAAAACTAGTCTCACTGGGTCTTAGTTTTTCATACTAAAGTATCTCCAAATGCTTCATTTCATGAACTTGTACAATCAATGTTGATCAAAGAACACGCTAAAAAGCAAACTGACTGAACTTTGTATTTTGGCAAGCCCTCCTCAGGCTGATACCCAAGCTGCCTGCCATTCTAGCTGTGGTCACGCTAATGTCCACAGATGACCTGGAAAGAAGAGAAGGGTAGTCATTGACATCCAAACCAGTAATGACTGAATTTCGACACTTCCCTAGAAATACAGGTGAAGAGAATGACCAGGCTACCCTGCTCAAAAAGTCTCTTTTGCTTTTTCACCCCTCCTTCACAAGAAGAGTAATCAGGATAGCTTGGAGTGACAGTCCTTAGGTCACTGAATACATATGGGTATTTTGCAGAGAAGTTTTCATAGTGGCAGTAGTGTGTGTTAAGTTTATTGTAATTTAATTTCAAAGGAGATACTTGAGTTGATCCACTCTGTGTTATTTTTACTGAAAAATATATCTGCATTGATCATATAAAGAAAGCTAGACCAATAAACACTCTGCCAAACAATCCCTCCCCCCAACTAAAACAGAGAAGAAATTTTTTAGCTTGGCAGTAATTTTCTATAAGTATTTTATATTCTGTTCACATTGGGACAGCAGCAGGATACAGCATTATTTCTCAACAACTATCATGCTGCAAACTACTGAGGATCTACTCCACTTCTTGTGGCATTCCTCCCAGAATCTCCTGTGACACTTATCCAGGACCAATGGCACTAATGCCATAAGAATTTTGATGAAAAAACATGAACTCATAGCTCTGTTTAGTCTTTATACACCAGTACATGAAAAAATGTCATTCCTATCACTTGTATAACCGTAAACGAAGTCATCAGATTAATCCTCCTATGTTACTTTAAGATGTAACTGTACTTTCAAAAGATGGTTTTAAATCTATAGACAAGTAGCAGAAGTAATACTGTATTTCTGAAGAATGCTTGCTTAAAAGAATCTTCTTGCTGGCCTCCTCCGTGTTGAGAGAACGTACCTGTAGCACAATGCAAGACTGCAGAAATGCAGAGCATCTCTGACAAACCTAGTACTCTTTATAGTGTCTGATGTTGAGTTTCAGTTGTATTTTCGAAATGTAAGACGTATTTTCTTTTCAGTGGGGACTTGGTTAATAAATTTTGAACTTAACAAATGAAAACAGAGAGAATAGAATTATTTTGGCACATGGAAGGAAATAAAGTGTAAACTGCATTTCAATTAATTTCACTTTATGTTACTCAAATATAATTAGGATTTGTTTGGGTTTTTTTTCCAGAAACTGTCCTATATAAAGGAAGCAATGGGCAGGTGAGTGTCTGTATTCTCCTTGCATTTTATTGTCTCTGGAGATAACAATTGGAGTTGTGACATTTTGTAACCTCTTTTCTTTTCATTGCCAGCTCCTGCACTGATTGGGCATGTGGGTAAGTAATTTTCCCTTTTTAAAGGCTCCTGATAGGTTGTTTCTCTGTTTTTTGCTGCTGCTGGAGTTAGTTTGTGCACTGAAGATGAGTAAAATTCACCGTTGTGCTAAAGGGCATGTAGAAAAGTACAGTGGAGAAATCTGATAGTTCTTGCACGTCACCTCATCCTGGCATGCTTGGCACGCTCAAAATATCTCAGCCAATCTGGGGCTTGTACGTCTGCTTAAGTGTGTCATCACCTTGTTGGCCATCAGGCTGTCAGGCTATTTACCTGAAGAGCTTTAGAGGGGGAGATCTATTTTGGGAAAAGGATGTGTCCGCAGTTACTTCTGTTAGTGTTCTGGTTATCCTGCAAACCTTTCCCAAAGGCTTTCAGGTAGTTCTAGTAGTTGTTGCAAAAAAACCCAAACACAACAAACAAACAAACAAAAGTTTTTAAATGCTCTTTAAAAAAAAAAAAAACAAAACCAAAAACAAACTTCTGAGAGATGTGCTCTGAAAACAGTTACAAGGGAATTGGCTGCTTGGACTCCTCACAGTTTTAACAAGGCAATAAACCTGAAAACTAACCTGATTTGTGGCTTCTTTGTACCAAAGAAACCTGAGCTTGACCTGTTATTTTCATGTCTTTTCTAATTGAACAGAAAACCAGTGCAAATTATTATTGCTTCTTTCCTACTCAGAACTTAATCTAAGCTGTTATTTTTAGGAAAATTTAAATCCAAACAACCTGGTGCTGAACTCATCTGAAAAACTGGCATGTTCGATTCCTTGCTTTACAGGCTACATAAAGCTATGATGAGTAATTAATTTACTGGAAAGAGTAATCACTTAACAGAATTTTAAAACAACCCTCAGCTTCCCAAATTAGGTATCCTCATAATGATTTCATAACAACACTGTATATTAAAATTATTAACATGAGACAATAAGAAGAAATGTGATTCCTAAAAGGTTGGTTTCTCTCTGTTCTGTGGAGCTGAATGCTCCTTTGACAAGAGCACTCCCCAAAGCTTCCAGGTCAGCAGGGTAGCATACATCTGTTCTGAAGAAGTGTGAGTTTGAAAACCTACTGCATCCATCTGTGTGATCATTCAGAAAATCTCGTAAATGTAGAGATATACAAGAGGAATTGGAGTCACTGCATGTACTGGGCTAAACAACAGAACAGTGCAAAAAGCCCAGCATTTTCAAGGTGGATCAGAGTGATTGATGTTGTACAAAAGCCATCTTACCAAGTGTTTTTTGGCAGGCATTAAAGGGGCTTCAGTAGACAATTCTCAGACTTTTCCAGCTCAATTCACTGTGGGACTGTATTACATCTTTCTCATAAATACACTGCTTTTATCCCAGTATATATTGCTTCAGACTGTTTATGGCTTTAGGATGGGATCTTTATAATCACCATCACTTTAGACTTTGGTTTGAATATATCTTTTCCTCTAGAAGTTGTTGTTTGTCTTGTGCTTGGAAACTGTAGTGGTTTATAGCATAAAGAGCGTGATACAGGACTGAAGCAGTGACAGAAACAGGTAGATTTGCCCTGGGTGATGAAGCATCAGAAAGAAGTTAATATAAATTATTTTGGTAATATTAAAGAATTCAAACTTATTCTCAGAACATTCTGGACATCTTAGAGCATTTGTGGTTTAAGATATGAAGTTTGTAAGCCAGAGCTGTATAAAAAACAAAGCTGTAGTTGTCATGGGTAGACATCTCCTCTAACTTCAGGTGTCTTCCATCAAGAGCAGTAAGTGAGCCACCTCAGCACTGCCAACAGCCAATGTTATTATTTCATGCAAAGTTAACCTCCAACTACACATCAGAATAAAAGGAAGACCTTTTAAAAATGTTCTGTAAGAAGTCAGAGTAAGTACCCAACCCAGAATCACCATCAGCAGTGTGGGAAATCCAGTGCCAAGTCCCTCCCGCACAGGAGGAGAGGTGAGTGCAGTTCTACCATTTCCTGGGCATTGCTGTCCTCGCCTGCTGGCACACACATGCAGAGAGACGCTTGTCCAGTGTGCAGGGCAATGCTGGGGTTTGAATGTGGCTGACTTGCCACCCAGCTGTGTCATCTGTGTCAGAAGGGGCATCTGTTCTGGCCTCAGAAGGGATCTCAAGGGATGGTAGGGCTTTCCTAAATATCTAGATATCCAGGGTATGATACATATCTAGATATCCAGATGAGATGTTCAGGTGAGGTACATCCATTGCCAGGGAGGAACAGGTTATTCCAGGTGATGTCTAGCAGGAGTCTTTGCCTTGTCCTCTGGTGAGCTCCAGTCTCTCTTCAGTCACTTCACTTTGGAAGCCTGGCACCAGGCAGATTTTTTAGTCTGTTTTCCCATTGATAAGAGCAGGAAATTTTGCAGTAGAGGTTCATGTTCCAGAGCATAGCCCCCAAAAAGAAACTAAGAGAGTATTATCTTTTTATGAGACTTGAGCAATCTACTTTTTACCTGTAAAATCTTCTTTCTTTGAAACAATTTCCTAATTTAGGGCTTATCTGGAATGGAAGACAGGCCCTTGATATCTGCTGATCATTTTAACTGTACTACTAGGTCAAATCAAAACTGCACTGAAAGCTATAAACAGCTATAGAATTGAAGCCCCGACTTAAAATTATTTGATACAACTCATACAATCCTACCTAAATGTCAACACTGTGTCTCTAGCTGGAAAAAGCTGATTTCAGCTAGTTCAATGCTAGGATAGTTTTAATGTAACCTGCAGAAAGGTGTCTTGTACTCTTGTAATAAAACTCCCAGAATAACTCTCAATCCGGCATTACTGACAATTACGTAACAGCAGATGAAATTTGTTCCCATAAGGTTAGTGCACTTGTTCACACAGGTTAAATGCTCAGGTACCCCGGCCTGTTAAGGAACTGAAGGATTCACTGAGTACCACTGAGGAGAAAACCTCAAAAGGAAAGTAACATAATGGGACACAATCCATATGTGTACACAGCAGCCCAGTGGACATGGTGAAGGTTTAGTCCCAGTTGGAAGTGTGGAAGCACTACATCAGCTAAAGACTTTTAATGTTTGCTTTATTCAGTAGGCCATTGGGACTTTGCATAATGAAATTCTGTCTCTTAATGTTGGAGTGTGTATCATGACAACAGGGCAGTCCTTTTGTCTAATTCCTGGGGGTTCAAAAACCAGATGTTGAGGACCAACCAAAGGCAACGGAGTAGCACAGAATTGTTGCAGTAGAAAACTAGAGCTTTTGTGTCATAGCCTTGCTTGATTTCTGCAAACACAATAACATACTGAGGAAAAGATCAAGAGTATAATAGGATAGTTGAAAAGGATTAATATAATGCACTGCTTTTTCACTTCTTCAGAAGCAGCTCTTGATGTCAAATTAAATAAATAGGGGCATGTGTCCTTTCTGATGGTACTTGCTGATTCTGAGCTCACTGAAATTAGTCTTAGGAAATCATGTTGAGTCTTCCTTTGTTCTGTTCATGTTCTCTGCCTTGAAATAAAGTGGCAGATTTAGGATCCCTATTTCATCAGTGGTGGCAGCAAAGGTGGTTGATGTATCAACTCAGATTTTTTCCTGTTTATCTAAACGTGCTTTATGAAAGAAAAAGAGTTTGTCTTCTGTGCTGGGGTCATTTCATCAGTTCAGCAGTTCTGCCTGCAGTGAAGTAGGAATGTACCTCTTTACTGTTTGCATGTGGACTTGGCAATGATATTGCTCGTTTCAGAAAGTTTTTATTATCTGCACAGCTTTACCACTTGTGAAGAGTTCCACACTGCTCCTTTTCCGTTGTCTATTTTCTTTTGTGCTCCTCACTGTCTGTTAGCAAATATGAAAGGTTTGTCCTGCTTTAATTAAAACAAAAATAGATCGAAATTCAAGAACTACCTAAATGAAAACTAAGACAAATGCTTGTACAATCTGAAAGGAGAAGAATCTGAATACAAGGCTCAGTCTTGTATTCTGAACTTGAATAAAAATACTTCTTAAATTGCATACTTAGTTCAAGGCTGTGTGATTAAAATATTTAAAAATAAGAAAATCAAACAGTAAAATGGTTTTCCCTTCTTTGTGCAATATGAACGTTGAAGTAATATTGTTCAAGAAAAATAAATTCTTGACATAGTAAACTAGACTTTAGAACATTCAAATTGATAAACAATGTTATAAATAATTGATAAACTGATGGATGTCCAGAACATGTAGTACAAATCTGAAGATGTGCAGTCACAAAGTTAAACTTTGAGGAGAAATGTAGAGAAAAATCTAATACCTCGTCTAGAATTTCATGGGGAACTGTGAAATGATATCACTGGTGCCCCATTTGACAAGTTCAGAGTGTTGTTTCTCCTCAATAACACAGTATGGCTGCACATAAAGAGCCTGTTCAGGCTCTGCAGTTGTCTTTGAGTCAATGAAACTCTGTATATGCTGGAATATGTGTGTGTGGACTCTGTAAATGTGGACTGGAACATATCAAGTTCTCTCCTGACATGACTGATGTCACATAGAATTGCATACCATGGGGTTTGAAAAAAGGGGAATGTAGGCAGTCTTTGTGAACTGTGTTTGCTGTATTGAAATGTAGAGGCTGTCCATAAGCACTGTTTGCTTCAGATCAGCTTCTGAGGCCCGTATGGATCTTGTCTTATGCCAGCCTAGATCCTGGTGTCTAACAGAGCTGTGTGATCTGAAACTGGCTGTTTCTCTCGAGGAAACACAAGTGCAGTGTCGTTCGTTCTGGTGCTTAGACAATCTGCTTGTGTGTATTCCATCCTGCCTCTCCATACATATGTGTGTATTTTTATATTTTGCTTACTGCTCAGCCAAGATGATCCAGGGCATCACTTATGCAGGTAGGACAATAGAAATTACATTTCATGTGTCTGTGTCTCAAATTCAAAATAAACTCTTGCTAGAATACAGTCCCTCCACCTGGAGTGGCTTGGTTGTGTAGGTAGAGTTAAAAATAAAGTGCAGGCCCTGGATGAATCCTGGGGCAAACAAACAAAAAAAAATCCCTTATATTTTAAGTGATGTAACTGAAGGGGAATTTGAATCTGTGTTTATCTTAAAAAGTGGTGTGTTCAAACAAATCAGCATATGCGTTGCCATGTACATTTTGAGTGATTTCCTTAGACATGCCTGATACTATTGCTACTTTTTAGGAAACCAATAAAGTGGGCATTTTAAAAATTAATATATTAAGGGGAAGTAGGAGTCTAAAAGAAATGCATGCAAAAAGAAAGCAAACTTCACCATTCTGGTTAAGCCAGGTAAAAAACAACACTGTACATAAAGTGAGGTTGATTATAGCACAGTTTCTTAAAACAATATTTTTGTCTTCCTGAGAAAAAGTAATAGGTGATAATTTGACCAAATTTGATACTTGACTGGTCTTTTTTGATTAGATTGATTACGGTTTTACGAGGTGGTGTTTAAGCCCTTGGCTTTTAATTTCCAGCCACTTGTGCGCTGGTATTTTTTCAGAAAATTGTGTAGCTCTTGAGGACTTGTATTTAAAAGTCCCTCAGTGCCAGTAAGCACATATTACCTGGCCTTGACAAAGAGCATGGTCTGTTGCTGCTTAAGTAGATGGGTTTACTTAAGGGACAGCCTTAAGTCTCACCTTGACAGTGGCCTTAGTCTCACCTTGATTTTCACCACTGTTATGGTTGCCCTATGACCTGGTTTGGTCTGTGGTTGTCGCCATATGGCTAACCCGGTGCTTAAGGTGACATTAGTGTTGGAGAGCTGCCATTTACTGGAGTCTGTGACAGAGAGAGTCCTCTGGGACCTTTGAAACTTGGAGAACTTTATTTTTATACTAGTCTATAACTAGTAATCTGATCTAGAAGTAGTACTCTAGAAAGCTAATTTTAGGCTTTTCCATTTGCAAACTCCTCCTCCTTTGAAAGTGTGATTTATGCCATAGCAACAGGTAAAGCATCACCAGCCAGTCGAGAGAGGTGATTGTCCTGCTCTGCTCTGCACTGGGGCGGCCTCACCTTGAATATTGTGTGGAGTTTTGGGCACTGCAATATAAGAAAGATATTAAGCCATTAGAGAGTATCCAAAGGAGGGCAATGAAGATGGTGAAGGGCCTTGAGGGGAAGCCGTATGAGGAGTGGCTGAGGTCACTTGGTCTGTTCAGCCTGGCAGAGACTGAGGTGAGACCTCACTGCAGTTTTCAACATCCTCACAAGGGGAAGTTGAGAAGCAAGGACTGATCTCTCATCTGTGGTGACCAGTGATAGGACACATGGGAAGGGCTTGAGGCTGTTTCAGGAGGTTTAGGATAGGTATTAGAAAAAAGTTTTTCACCCAGAGGGTAAGTAGGCAATGGAACAGGCTCCACAGGGAAGTGATCACAGCACCAAGACTGACAGAGTTCAAGAAGCGTTTGGACAGTGCTCTGAGGCACATGGGGTGATTCTTGGGGATGGTCCTGTGCACGGCTAAGAGCTGGACTTGACGATCCTTTTGGGTCCCTTCCAACTCAGAATATTTTGTGATTTATGTCTGTTTTTTCTTGTCTTCTTTGAGGATTTTTTCCTTTAAAAACTCAAGTTACTTAGTTTAAATTTACCTTGTGGGTACATTGGCTTCCACAACTGTACTGGGTGCAGATGCCCAGGTGTTGTCAGTGGGGGCTCCCTGTGAGGAGAGAATGGGGCTGCCCCAAGTTGGTTCCAGCCAGCTTTGATGGGCCCACCACAGGGCACAGCTGAGCCCTACACTCATGGCAGTGGTGCCTCAGGGAAAGCCTGTGTGAGAAAGGGCAAGAACATGGCACAGGGAGAGGAGTAGGGAACAAAAAGAATGAGAAATTGTGGCATAGGGAATGCCAAGGTCAAAGGCACCCTGCCATGGCAAAGCAAGTATTTCCTGAAGCCAAGGGAGGACTCAGACTGGAGCAGGTATTTCCTGAAGGAGCTGCTGTCCCTGCAGAACATGTACTGGGTAGAGGAGTCAGAAGTGAAGTTGAGCCTGGGTGGAGGATAAGTGGTTTTCTAATGTCTGTCAGTTTCTCACTATCCAAACATACTTATATATGCAATAAATCAATTTTCCCCAAGCTGAGTCTAATTTGCCTGTGGAGGTAATTGGTAAGTGACCTTCCTGTCTTTACCTTGACCCAGAAACTTTTCACCTTATTTTCTCACCTGTATTGTAGAGAGGCTGGGTGGGTGTTTGGGCCTTAACCAAGGCTAACCCACCACAGAACTGAGTGCTCAGTTGGTCAGATAGTCATTTTTGTCCATTTGAGATGCCCTGAGTCGCAGCACATGTGCAGAAGGCGGCCAGGGATGATGTGGGAACTGTGGGTGGCCGGTGCCTTGTGGGGCAGTAGCTGGAGGTCAGGAGTGCCTGGAGGCTCCTCAAACTATACTGGGCACCAACCCATGGGCAGCTGGATTGAGTCCCATGAGTCTCAGGTTGAGACCAGAGCTTACCACAGTAAATCACATTTCTCACTTTCCCCTTCTAAAGGAAAGGGGGCTGACACAAGACTCAGCTAATTTTTATATATAGGTTTGAACTGAATAGAACACTGCAAATCCTGTAACAGTTTTTACTGTGCATTGCTTTGCTTTTGAGTTTTTATTCTGACCGTTGTTACACTAATCAGTTTCTAAGAAATAAAATATTAGGCTCACTTCTGCTGAAAAGGAGAATAATACTTGCTTCTGAACATTAAATATGATGCACTAAGATGCTTTTTTTTACTGATGCTGTAATTTGGTGAGACTGTAATTTAATTCCTATTGAAATTGGTAAGAGAAATGCATCCTGGAGTGGAGTGAACCTAATTGGAAAATATTTCATCAGACTGTTTTATTACAGTTCTAAGATGATTAACAAATAAAGAAACTAAATCAATCTAAAATATAGCAAGCATTCTTCAGAAAATATCCTTAAGAGAGGTGATCTTGTCTAAGTTATACTTGCTATTAAAATTTTCCAATCTTGGAAATGATTCTAAGATTTACTGAGGTTGTCAAAGAACTGATAGAGAGTTCTCATGCTGTGCTGGCTGAAAACAGGTACCAGTGTCCACGAGATGGAAGCAGACACAAATAGCTGTACATTTCAGAGCTTGCATATTGCTCATCAACTTTAGCTGTTTAAGAAAACACATGAAGGTACTTGTTAAGCATTTTTTTCTTTGTCTGGCGATTATTTTATTTTTTGCTGATGTAATGGAGATCTCACCCTGTCAGTTTAAGATACCCTGACCTGTATTTTTATATAGTTAATCATTTTGTGCAGGACTAGGCTGTGCCTCCTGGGAAAGGATGGGTGAAAAGATTCTTGACTTAAATAGAAAATTCATCAGGTTTGACTTCGGGTCTGTTTATTGGCAAGTCTTACGTGTCTGTGAGAGGTAGGGGGAGAAAATGTTTCAGACATTTAACTCAGTGAAACTATCGTGTCTTTGGTCATATGCTGGGGCCCTGGTATCAGTAGTATGTAACTTTGGATCTGGTTGTCTGGCTGGTGCTGGAAGCCTTTGTTTTTTTGAAGTGATAAAAGAGACTGATTATGCATCTTAAAGGAGACAAAATATCCATCAAGTCTGAGTGGAGTTTTGCTTGAGGACAGAGTGAAAGACCAGTAATATCATATGTGAATCAAAAATCAAACCTGGCAAGGCTTGGAACCATGGCCAATGTTGCATGTATTAGAGTGAAGACTTGCTGCAATGCTTATTTTATGGCACAGGCATGACCACCAATAAGAAAGGAGTTCCTTTAGAAATGAGAGAAACATCTCAGTACAATGAACTTCAATGATTTTCTGAAGTTCAGTTTCTCTCCAGCACTTAAACTTCCAATCTTACAGCTTGGGCTGTATATATTAACAGTATGACAAACCTGAAATATAATTTTGCCTTCATTCAGGAAAGACTTGTTTCTGTCAGAGCATGTTTCCTACTCTTGGAAACTTGACAGTTGCTCAGGGCTTAAAGAATTGGCTCCAAGGAGCCTGGGTTTACTGTAAGAGCCATGTCAAAGCTGTTAGTTTTTCTTCAGGCTGGCAGTCTTCCTCTGATTTTTACCTGAAATGTTTTTCACATTTGGCCTCGAGTTGTTTTATGTGTGTGTGTGAATCCAATAATTGGATTTGGAAGCTGATGCCTTTTGAAGATTTCCAAATTAGCAGAATAAAATTAATGATAAAAATAACCCATCTTCTTGCAGTGATTTCAATAGAGTTATGGTGTTTGTATTTTAAAAACTGAGCATTTTATAGAATAATACCTGTTATCCTTGTGGTTTATTTCTGGTCTTCACATTTGCCTTCTTTACAAAACTGCTAGAAGGCAAAATGTATTATTGGGTAGGACTACAAGTCAGTTGGAATATAAGGGTGTTAGCAACCTGGAGAGAGGCACATGGTGAGTTGTGTGTTGCAAGTGACCCAATATCTAAGTTGCAAAAGATAACTGAAATACTGCAAAACCTAATTTTTATGAAGTTATCAGCAAAGTAGTACCATGACAAATTTCTTCTGCACGTATGCTTTTTGGTGTGCCACCAGAATTACAGAAATATAAGGAACTAATGTCCAACGTGTCCAGTTTCAATTTCTGACTTTATTTTTATCTGTTAATAGTGGGACTCCAACTCCAGCTTCGGATGCTGATGTTACCACACTGAGAGGTCAGTTTTCATCTAACTCCTGTTAAGGCTGATTCTGAATTCCTAGATAATTGAGAAATTTGATGGTGTTCGGACTTCGGAGAGAGCTGTGAATTTTTACATCTGTATAATGCTGTTTGTAATTTGGAGATCATGTTATATGCTGGCATTATTTTGTTACTGTATGAATAATGAAAATCCTACTTGAGAAATTAGTTCTGTGCATTTCTTACTGCACTTAATTTCATGTTTCCAAAAATATATCTGTTTACACAGAACATTAGCATTTTATTCTGATTAGTGTATTTGGTACTTTTCCTCAGGCCCTTCAGGTGTTTCCTGTGCTGTTGCTGCCATGATGATGGGAATAGAAATCAAATTTGACTGCTGGTTTATGCTTGCTGAACTGTTTTTGGGTATCTACATGTACTTGGGTATGAAAAAAAAAACCAAACCAAACAAAATAATACTGTTCTCTTTCAAACTCAGATGCAGCTGCCAATGTTCCTCCCCCTGATGAGATCTCCATTGAGAGTCCTCCGGGTGCTACCATCGAGGAGGTAGATGGTATAGACACCACAGTGAGTGATTTTTTTCATGGGGTTCAACATTCTGTTGCCTTTCCTAAATTATGTTTTTCATGGTCATTTACATTTTTCTAGTAGTATCTGAAGGTGTGTTAGCATGGTGTGCTAATACTAAGATTTCATAAAACTAGGGCATGGAATTTCTAAAGTGTTAAAATAATTTCCTGGGTAGGTATTTTTCATTTGCAGAGGCTTTGCAGTGCCGCTTCCCCAGCAGTGGGAGAGAACAGATCAGCTGAGCTATCAGATGAGGATTTTGCTAGACTCATAGGACTAAAGAGAGGATGCCCAGTGGTTCTGAAAGCTCCAAGAAGAATGTCAAACATTATTATTCTTATGGAAACACAATATACCTTAGGTTGCTGCAGAAGTGGTACAATTGTGTAAGATGCACATAGGTGGCCTGGGCAGCCTTGAAGATTCTGATACTCTGCTCCTTCTGGTTATGTAGATGAACTTTTGTTTATCATCTTATAAGTCACCCTTACTGTGATATTTAAACAAAGCTCACAACACAAGGAATCCTATGCTCAGTACTTAAATCATCTTTGTAGAAGTGAGCTGAAAACCGCAGAGGTCCCAGGGAAGCATTTGCTGATAGGAAACAGGTCCTCTGGATTTAAATTTTAATCCCAACTCTAGAATTCAACTGCAGTATTTGTGGTCCTACGTAACTGAAAAAAATTTGCAAACCAGTGGTAGGAATCAGCTGGCTTTTGTTTTCTTATAAAAATGAAACTCTCAATGGGTTATGGAGAAGCCTACAAAGTTTCACATACTACATATAAGTAGAAGCTGATTTATAGTACTGGGTTTTGTTCCATAAGAGTATGGCCATGAAACAAAGCTGAGCCAAACTGTACACTTCTAGAGCTTTCAGGGCTGACTGATACTCTGATATTGGAATAAATACCAAATATGAAGCAGGCAGACAGCTTCAGACTCAAGTCCAGGGTCTGGCTTTATATTATGTACCAAGAACACTTGTGGTTTGGTCCCATGTACAGCATTATTCTTTTTCAAAACAGAACTGCCTCTAGTACTTCTACTGGAGCAGAGAATAGGATCATTCAGTAAATCATAAAGAAACCAGAATTAGATTGCTGCTGCTACAGTGTTTTCACTCTATACAGTTACATCACACCTCATCATTGCTCAGTGCAGCCAAAATGCATTGCAGGTTACAAGACCAAGGGTGAGCAAAGCTCATATTCTGTGCTTGTATGTTGACTTTTTTAGGTTTGGGTTGATTTAAATCAATAAATGATTTAAAATATGTGTTATTGCAAACAACCATATGACAGCAGTTCATATATGGCTGCTAAGTGTGTACCTCTCAAATGCTAACTAGCTTTAAGTAGTGCATGAGTCATTATGGTCTTTAACAAAGTTATCCAGTGAAAAAGGGATGGAGTGGGGAAGGAAGAGAATTTAGCTAAAAATTTTTAGAGGGTCCCTAAACAACATATAAGTTAGTCACTGGCAGCAGATAAACTTTCCAGAGAAAGGTTTTTCCATTTCCTGCACAATACATAACTTAGGCTGCAGTTTTGTTGAAAAGGTCTGGTTTTTAGGGTCTCTTTTTTCATTTTAAATGGGGGAAAACCAACAACTGCATATAAATAGCCAGGGACAAAACCTCTAGCAAAAGACATTTGTCTATTTGGCTAAAGTTAACTTAAGCCAGACTTCCTTTCCTTGCCCCAGAAATCTGATTTTTTTTGCTTTTTCTCACATCTTTCAGTGTACCACAAGGAATAGCTGGTTTTAAAATACTAGGGAACTAAGCAGAAAGCCTTCTTCCTGTGTAGCTCAGTCATTCAAATCAGATTTAAACTTGGCATTGCCTGCTGCCTATGGCAGCCACAATAGTTGCATGCTTCCCTGGTGCATTGCACAGCCCCTGCCACGGGGCTCCTCAGGCAGCTGTAGACCCACCAGCTGAAGGCCACTGCTTTAGCTCAGCAGAAGTCCCTGCAGGTTTCCCAGTGCCCACTGTATATCTGTGGGATACTTCACTTATTGAAGCTGAACAGCAGAGTGTTGTTCCAAACATAGAACTTGACAAAGGTAACTTGTCTTCCAGGTGGAATAGTAAGTAGGAGCCTTGTGATGAATGAGTAAATGTTGGGTAAATCGACCTAGGCTGACTGGGCTCGAGTGAGTATCCATGGCTGTGCTTTAAATTGCCTCATAAACATTCCGTGCAACTGGATTTCTGTTTGTGCCTGAGGTCAACTAGATGGACTTGCACTGCAGATGTCCATATGGAAAACAGAATTATCTGCAATACGAGAATTCTCAAGAAATATTCTTGCTTAGTGGATTGCCTCATTATTTGCTACCTCTGTCCCTGAGGCTTCACAAGCGCTCCATTGTAGTGCAAGGCAAACAGGTCTGCTGATGGCTCAAGTGAGGATGCTGAGCTTTGCACTGTGGTTTTCATGTGTCGTTAAGCATACCCGTGACCAGCCCACCAACAGTGCCCTGAGGTGTTCCTGTCCATACAGGGCTCAGGTTTTCTGCCCCACCCACCACGAGCCAGAGAAACCTTCAGATTTGCAGCAGCTGGAGAAGTTTCTGTCCCATGCAAGAAAGATATTTGGACCCAAACTTGGGAATGTAGTGTAGTGTTGACAGATGGCAGACCGTTTGTACACATACACATTTAGGGATGCTCTTTACGTGGAGTAAACCCACAATAGGTAGGAATCTGGTCTGTGGTGAGTAACAAGGATTTGTTTCTTCAAAAAAAGAAAAAACTCAAGAACAAAGGGCAAAACAAACAAAAAAGAAAGCATTAAGTCAGCTCTTGTTTTTTTCCCTTTTTCCTTCCCTTCCAGATCAATAATGAGATAAAGACGCAGGATGAGAAGCTAGTGAGACCTGTAAGTGAGCAGATGATTGAGTTCAGCATTTTGATTGCTGGTGAAAAGTACTGCGAGGAGCTGAAGGACCCAGCTACTGCAGAGCATCAACTGCTGTCTGAACGATTCATTTCTCAGGTGATTACTTTCCCTAACTTCCTTTGTCCTTTTGCTGGCTCTGCAAAGCAATAATAGCACAGAGCATCAGTGTCAGGGCTGCTTTTTTCTCATGGGCTGTGTGGAACCAGCTTAAGGGTTTTGTTGGCCTGAGGCAGGCTGGAAAATACCCACTGTGAGAATACATCATTCTGTCTGACATGCTGCCTTTTTGAAGCAGGAAAGTGCCATACATTGTGTGTAACATGCCACTTGCTGCAGACCCCAGTTTTCTTTTTGTGATTTTAATGATATATGGGGGCATAGTCTAAACAGGATCTTTCTGAGGGATTGTTCTCTCATTCTCTTTCCCCCATTTTCTGATCTCCTTAATTTACTTTGCCTCATGTTAGCAAAAGAAATGAATCCAAATGTTACTGATAAATGAAAAATATTTTCACTTATTTTAGTCCTTTTAAAGACCTATTTCTACCAGAATTGGCTTAGACCTTACCATTCTTTTCAGTACCTCTCCCTGTCAGTGTTACTGCAGCAGAGCTTTTAAACTCACAGAAAAGTAACAAGTCTATTGTTTACCTCCTGATGCAACTTCACTAGTTCTTAAATTTGCAGGACTTGAAAATCTTAAATTTCAAAAAGACATTTAACATCTTTTCAGTGACCAGTCTGCATAGAGTTCATTTCAGTATTTTCTCATCAAGTCTTCCAATTAGAATTCTTCTGTAATTAGCTGTTTGGGGCAGTGAAAAAGATAATTTAAGAGTCTGAGCAAACGAGCCTGCCAGCACTCTCAAGTAGATAGGTCCATCAGCATCTGCTGATTTGGACATGCACTGAAATGGGATAGAGGATACCTTAACAATTACTGTCTATACAGAGTAGGTGATAAATGGTTGGAAGTCACAAACAGCAGAACTCATTTGTTATGTGTGCTCAGAAGCAACATTTCTTTGAATGAATTGCTGGCATTGCAGTGAGATCCTCTCTCAAATCTAGGCTGCCAAGACAGCTCTTGCTCCTCATTTATGCCCAGAATGAGCAGTTCATGGGACTGCATTTTAAAACACCTTCAACCAGTTCTTGAACATATGCTGAAATCCCGCTGGAGTCAGTGGGAATGAACTATGGATTAGACTGTTAGGCACATGCTTTAAAGAAAAAATACATAGGTACATTATACATATATACATGTATGTATGAGTTATTAAAAATTTACTTCAATTATTTTCATTTGTATGCTACAAATAAAGTTACTGGCCCACCAATATACAAATGTATTCTTAAAGTGTGATAATATACTGCTGTGTTCTGTTCTAATTTTCCTCTCCCTGTTGTTTCCATTTTTTTTTAAATTTTGTCTGTAATGGTGGTAACTTTATTACCATGATTTTCTTGTGGCAGGGAGTTTGGCTTTCTTTTTTCTTGGGAGAGGTATTTAGGGTGCCAGATGGCAGCTCATCATGAGGCTTATCTTTTCTCTAGCTTTGCTTCCTTCCTTGTCCCATCTAGTTGGGGTTCTCTGTTGAATCCCTTTTACTGGGCTAACCCGGTGCCAGATCCTGAGCCAGATGGGAAAGAGATGTACTCTTCACTGCAGCCAAAAAGCATCACCACAACTGTCACAAGTTGCTAGTGTAGGCTAGACATCTTAATTTTCCTAGTTGTGTGGCCAAGTAGCAATGCCATAGTCTGTGTGTGTGCATAAGAAATGTCAGATGGGACAGAGTCCACCTGGCACATGGATGTTCCACTCCTTTGATCCCTTGCCTGGTTTTCTCTGAGCATGAATAAAGAAGCTCTTGCAAAAAAGAAAGTCGGCATCACTTTGATTGTTTAGGTCTCACAAGAGACAGTTTAAAAATAGGGATATCGGGGAGGGGAACAAGAATTTGCAGAGTAAAAAATAATTCTCAACTGGCAAGGATCTTTTGGGAGCTAAAAACCCCCAACTCAGGATGAACCTTCAATATTCTATATCTTGTAGCACAGTTGACTATTGAATCGGGCCTGGATGTGCTTCCATTTTGCTGTCCCCAGCTGTCTTTTTTGAACAGCACCGCTGGTCACTCCTGAGCTCTTTGCAAGTTTAGGGCAGTGGTGATGAGCTGTATTTTGCACTGTGTAGTGCATTAGTGCCTCTTTGGAATCTGAGAGGTCCCTTTCTTATGGCAGCCACTGCTCCACTTAAGTTGCTGAGGTCCAGAGCATTTTCCTGAATTCTTTTTAATCCAGAGGGGTTTGGAAAGTAATGGATACTCTTTGGGCAGAGAAGGATTTGAAGGATCTGCATAAATGAGAAAAAAGACTGTAATCTGCTATGGGCAGTGCAGGTCTCTGCAGTCTCCTTCAGTGTTTCTATTCAGTTCTTGGGGAATGCTGGATGTTTGTTCTTCATACTTTTTATTTTCCCTTTTCCTTTTCTAATAATGAAACAATATCACCAAAATTACTCTTCCAGAAAGAAAGAGAACATTCAACCATTTTTTTCCCATTAGATGTAACAGCTCAGGTGTATTTATGGAAAACGTTGAAAACACTTCCCGATCATTTTTACCACATGAGTAGGGTGAAGATGTGTTAATCTTTTGTTTTTCCCTCAAAATAGATTAAAAGTGTATTTGAAGGACTACCTGGATACAGAAACATCCAAGTCCTGGATTACAGGTAAAAAGATACTGTGGCATACGTGGTGGTTGAAGCCGATCATGTGTGACGGTGCAGTGAGCTAAGATGATGCTTGGAAGAATGTTGGGCATGTGTGTGGAAGTTCCTAGGATGTATTAACCAAAGGACAAGTGCTTTCATGTTTGTTATCTCTATATATAACAGTTGAAATAGAAATACAGAACTGTATGCAAATGCAAATATCATGGTTTTTTTTTTTTTTTTATGATTCTATCGTAAAATTAAAAGATACATCAAAATCTAATACTTCTTCTGTACTGTTGATATCTCCAAGTATTAAACAAGGAAGAACACAGAAACATTTTTGGAAAAATGTGGTGTATTTAAATTTCTTTTTCAACTTCTTAATGTTAATTTGGGATGACTCTAAAGTTGATGTTTTAGAATATGTAAAGCTCTTTCTCTCTTGGATCAAAACAGAGGTGGGCAAATCGTTTGATAAGCAGTGTTTTAACTCTCTTTATTCCTGTATTTTTTGAAGACTAATTTCCTCAGTTCAGTTTGTGCTTCAGAATGACATTGTAGGTTAATTTGCTGAGTTCATGCATCAAACATCTGATGTCTGAGTTTTAGGGTACATGGATCACAAACTGTGATTTTTCTTGAATGGACTGGATATAACTTTCAGAATCTAATGATACTGTTCATGAGTTAATCTAAATTGTGTTTTCTTTGAGACTGTAAGCTGTGTTTCTTAGAATTTATTGCCTAGGAATTTTAGCTAGAATACATGCAGGTAACAAAGTAGCTTTAGTGAGAAAGGTTTTGTGGCTGGAACCTTAGACTGTGTCCAGTTTTCAGCCTGAAAGGTAGCAAAACCTTCCATCTTGGTATTTGCAGTGTAATACATTTGCAAAGCTCTTGGTTCATTTGGGGAGACAAATAAAAGGTTGGTATTTCTGGCAGAGCACCAGAACTCTGCTCTACTGTGCACGACAAAAACCCAAGGTTGTAAATTAACCTTTAGGTAGAATTAGTGAGCCTAGATCTCCTTCATCTTGAAGTGCCTTAATGTGTAATAAGCTGAGATGTCTTTTCTCTGCTGAGTCCTTGGGATCAATAGGAAATATCAGTTCAGTAAAAGCAGAACAGTTTATGTAGCAGAAAAACTATGCAAGTTAGTAGTAATTTGCTTTGTGCATTTTCAAATTAGTGTGCCCTGTAGAATACCAAAGCAAATCTGTAAAAACTATAAGACTTAGAGGAAATTTATGGCATTGATTTAACAGGTTTTGCTGTTCTGTTTTCTTTTTATATTCAGCCCTTCCAAGGAAGACAGGTAAAGACACCTTTTTTACAAATATTGTCATAATACAGATGGAAAAAAACATGTTTAGCTGGAGGACATTGTTTTGAGGATTTGTAGTTTTGGCTCCAGAGCAAGATAGTTATCCAGCATAAATATTATGTGAGGGGTTCTACCAGAAAATGCAAGTAACTGATCTGTTTTGATTAAAGATAAACCTAATTTTCTTATTTAGGTCCTAATAATAATAATAATAATATTAAAAATTAAAAAAAATACTCAGGGAAAGTCTACCTAAACACAAGTCAGCTACGGGGCTAACTTGTGTATGAGTTTCTTTTGTGAAGTAAACAAAATTGCTTAATGATGACTCAAGGTCTTCATACTTTGCAGCAAATTCTTGAATACATATGGGGTGATTATTATTACTGAAATTAAAGTAGGTAAGAAAACCACAGCTCTCTAAGCAAAGGCAGTTGTCTTAGCTACTTAAAGGACAAAGGTGCTGCATGTTTTACCAGAACTTTCATAAATGTTCTTTAGCAGAACATAGAATCAGTCTGGACTTGTTTTTCACCAGATACATGCAAGTTAAGAATCCAAAATTTTCTTTACTATTTTAAGAATTTCACAAGACAGAAAATGAACTTACTGGATGTATTATTTTCTCTTGGGTATATATCAGCAAAGGCATAGCCAGTTTCCATGGAGAATTTTAAAGAGAATGAGCATTCTAATTTTAGAACAAAGGTTACATAACACAAATCTCTTCACAAACTGTACTGACTTAGTTATCGCCTACTACTGTGCACTTCTGGAGGATAAGATGTGTGCAACTGTTCACAAAGGCTATGTTCCAGCCACTAGATGTTTAGCCTTTTCCAGACACATGATGGTGTTGTAGTTATTTGTTTGTAATCATTAAAGGCAAGACAGTACAGTTGTATTAAATCTAAATGTTCTGTTTGAGGAGCATGCTCTGTTTCATCTTTGCTGTCCTTTATTTCCTCTTCTGACAATGAGTGCCCATGATGAGGTTGTTTTGGACTTATTTCAATCATAGAGCCACCAGCAAAACTCCAGCAGGATTCTCGTTTTAGTCAGTGTGTTCGCAGATTGTCTCTGTTGTATCTGGTACTGGAACTTTAAAGACTTCCCTGAACAGAGAAATTTTTTTAGTAATCCAGTTCAGCTCCATGGAATGAGGAAAACCTGTATTCAGGGCACATTTTTCTAACACTTCATAGGTTACTTAGTTTTCTTGCTTCTTCTGTGTACAGCCAAAATATGTTACATTTTCTAAAGCTCTCTCATGCTTATGCCCAGTGTATGGTAAGTTGGATTGCTGCCTATGCTGTCATGTGGAAAAGGACATCCAAATGTATTCAGAAAAAGAAAATTGAGAAAATGGAGGAGAATTACTGTGAAAAAACCCAAAACCAAGTTATAGAATAAATGATCAAATGAGTCAAATCATCATTTGATCAAATGATCAAATGTTACCAATTATAAGCTGTATTAAATACCATTTTATTGCTGTTAAAGACATTCTTTTAAAGAGGTTGACACTGCACAGTGACAGCAATCAGGGCTCTCAACTGCCACTGTAGATTGCTGCTATATACAGCCTGTTTTTCCTGTCTGTTTTCATACCTCAGGAGCATTCCCATCATTGGCATGACCTTAAAATCATCACTTCCACCACTGCATGCTGGTGGGTCCATTAATAATGATGTTAAAAAGCCAGCATTTTGGTCTGCTTGTGGTCTGTCTGCCATTCATTAGCAGAAATACAGAGCTGGGACCAGACCAGGTGTCAGCTTCTGGTAGCCTTTTCCTTGAGAACTTTGCAGTGGTGGAAGGCACAAGCAGATAAAAATATGAAAAGATTTAAATAGTTTTCATTTAGAATCATTTAAAACCATATATTTTTATGTTAAAAGGTGTATTGAATAGGTTCTTGGGAAAAAGTATCATAGTGTTTGTTATACTTTGGAAAACCTGGCATTTCTCATCTGTGTTCTCTTTCTCTTTGTACAACTGAAGTGGGGTGGAAGTTCACTATGCTGTTACATTTGATGGAAAAGCCATCAGCAATGCCACCTGGGACCTGATTAACCTCCAGTCCAACAAGGTGGAGGACAACTCCTTTATGGGCATAGAGGATAATCCAACAGTTGTGTACACCATCAGTGATTTCCAGGATTATATTGCTGAAATCCTCCAGAAAAATGCTTTGCTTGAAAACACTTCCTTGTCTTTAGACCCTAACTCTCTCCAGCTCACTAATGGTGAGTATTAATCATGATGCACTGCTGTGTCACACATCTGAATTTTTATAAACTAAATCTCAGGTGAGTGAATTATTCAGCTGCCCTCTGAATAATTAAACAGAAAGAACAAAAACAACTATGTTACAGCTTGTTTTGCTCTGATCTTAACCAGACCAAATCATTAGCAGCAGCATCCCATTTTTTTAATCCATTAGTTTAGCCTCTTTTTTTTTTTTATTTTGACACTGAGGTTTGTGCTGTGCAATTCCAGTAACACTTCCAAATATTAGTAGGAATAAAAGGGGTTCATGTGATGCACATTGCACCAAGGTGACCTTCAGCATGGTAGCCCTCTGTTGGCCTTAAGCAGCACAAAGGAAATACCTGGATTATTGTTGAATATTCAGTGATCCTGCTAGAGGTGATGAAAGGGGTTATCCCCTTGTTCTCATCTTTCCTCTATACTTCCTATCAGTGATTTGGGGGCATTTCCAGGAACAAAATCTGTCTGGCCAATTTTTTGAAAAGACTTTACTCACAAATCTGAGATCAGAGAGGGTTTTTCAGTCAGCTTTCCAACACAACTTCCTCACAGTGCTATGGCAGTCTTTAGATCCCAAGTATTTGTGTTTTCACAGTGAAAGAAATACTACACCCCACATCAGAATACCCACCCTGGATTACTGAGCATCCAGTTGTGCTGGAGCGCCCGGAGTTCGATGTGAGTATGGTTCTGAGCAGAGGCTTTTGGAAACATTTGAACAACTTTACAAGGTGGAATTGTAGCAAATACTCAGAGCTTCTCTATCATCTTGTACGTGCAGAATAAGTAGTAATGAAGGCACACCTTATATTAGAGTAAAAACTGATGAAATCTCTCATATGACAATTCTGCTATCTGTTGCACAACGGTTTTCTGTGACCATCTTGTTTAGACTGTAAACTTCTCTAAAGACATGATTCTTCCTTCCACTATCTTCCTTCCATTATTATGTTTTTTTGGAAAGCAACAAATAAATGTAAACCCTAAAGCTGGCTGCTAGAAGGGAGAAAATGCTGTTTCATATGCTCTTTTTGTTACTGTATTGCCTTCATAGAAAATTGTCAACTTGGTTTTTAAAATTATGTCCATCCCCTTAATGCCAGCAAAGGAAACAAATATAACAGGCACTGAAATTGTAATTATCTCCTCTGATTACCTCTGGAACAAGCCAGGACATAGATTGAAGTTCCCTATTGGACAGGATTCTCAGTATCCTAATCATGTCTGTGCAGTGCAAAGGGACTTTAGGCAGAGATACTGAGTTAGGGGCTGGCCACGCTGAGAACAAGCCAAGTAGTTCTGCCAACAGTGAGAACTTCTGAGTGGTGGAGCATTGTCTGGGCAGTAGGTTTCTGCTCTGCACTCTGCTGTGTAACACAGATGTGCCTTCCACGAAGAAATGAGCTCAGGTGGTGCCATAAAATCCAGGTCCACCTGTGCTGGATGGTAGGTTCTCACTAAGCCCATTATGAGACAATGCTGTGATGGACACGTCTAATTTCAGGTCAGCTTCTGAAAGATTTATGTAAGCAAAATTTGTAGTCACTTCACAGAACCCAAATATTTTTAGAATGGACACAGGTATAATATCCTTAATTTCATGCCAGCTTTTCCTGAGTTTTAAAAACTAATCATTGGTGTCTAAAATACAAATTCATATGGATTTACCATAACAGCTTAAACGTGGTGTGAATTTAAGTTAATTTTCAGGAAAGGTCTTTCTCTTTACCAGGGCTGTCTAACTAGTTTAAAATATTGCAGATATTTATTTTAGTAAGACAAAGAATTCTTCCATCTTTACATTCTGTCTGTGGATAATCTGGCAGATGTGCAGGCAAGAAGATTTTAGAGTAGCAGTAGCTGTGCAATAATAAATTTTAATCCAATTTTAGGGATAGTGTGTATGAAAAAAATTGTGGAAGTTACGTTTTTCTAATTATGAGCTGCCAATAATCTATGACTTCAATCAAGAACTCTAATTATGTAAAAGATATTGAATATATCCCCAAACCAGCTGTGTACAACCTGCAATACATAGATAATTTGGGAAATAACTTCACATAAATTTAAGAAAATCATAAATATGCTTAAACAGTAAACAATTGATCAATGACTTCCACAGATGTCAAACCTTTATGGATACACTTAAGTAGAACTGCAACCTATGGAAAAGAATTTTGCTACAATTCTTCTTAGCTGATTTGAGAATAAGTTGGATTTGTATTATCATCCATACTTATGACATAATGTGGGACTGTCATGACTTCACCATCTAATTGCTAGCAGATGGTACCACTAATTCTTTTTTTTTTTTTTTGGTTTTACAGCTCTCTCAAAAAGTAAAGCAAAAATCAAGTCTATTTTTTGAAATCCATATTTTCTTGTTATTTCTGTTGAGTTGTAACAGGTAGAATGCTCTGGCTTGCTGAATACAATGCCTTTCTGGCAGCAGAAAATGGAAAATCAGGGAGGGAGTTCTGTGTTTGCAGTCATCTGTCATATTTGTAAGCCTTTCAAAAGACATTAGCAAAAACCAGAACTTGCCAAGATGATATTAAACTTGTTAATATAATATAGTGCACTGTAACAAGAATCTTTGAATAATGTTAGTTGCCATAGGAACATCTATCCACATGTGAATAAATGATGAAGTGCAATCCCTGGAACTAAGTGCTGACATAAAAAAAAAATGTATTGAGAAGCTATTGCTGGTAGTCCTTATTCATTCTTTATGGAATTTATATGTGTAATTTGTTTCTATTTTTGTATAGTAACTGTTTTTACAGCTTTATTTATAGTGGTCAGTTTTGCCAAAAAATATAATTGCTCGAGCACATGTCTTTGTGGTATATATACTTTTCAACTGCTTGTTACCATATGAATTAAAGAATGTGAGGGGACGGTGGTGGCATAACAACTGGCATTTTTAAATGTGATCAATGCACTTAAACAAGTAATTTAATAAAAATATCTTAACTGGCCTGTTTCCAAAGCATTCAAATGCAGTTTGAATGAAGCTGAAAATTTAATTCACCCACATTTCAACCAGGAGTTAAATTTCAAACTGATAAGTGTTTGGATTCTTCCTGTTATCCCTGCTGGTCAAGTAATAGAAGGAGATTTGAAGGAATGGTGAGCTACAGAAATAGTTAAAATGGTTTTGAACTGTGATATGTATTATAGAACCCTGTGTCCACTGCCTACTTAACGTTGCTCGTCACCCTCAGCAGTTGGTTTGTTCTTAGTAAATTGCTGCTGCTTGAAAATTCTTGGCAGGTTTTGCATCCCATGGGTTTTTTTGGTCCATACCAGACCACTGCACAGCACTGATATGTGGGCAGGTGTCCATATGAAACACTAATTCCCAAATTTTAGGCTGGCAGCTTGCTTTTTGTAGCCTTGACCAAATAACTTAATCTCTTTATTGGCTTTTCCCAATATAATTACCTCATCAGACACTGTGGTAGTAGATTGATATTCAAAGATGAAATGTGCTAACTATTTTAACTGTAAACTGAATAATGATTAGGGTGTGAAGTAGTAAGTAAACAGTGTGGAAATTGGAGATGTGAAACCAAATTTTTTTTTCACATTCCAAACAATTTGTTCTGCATCCTCTTTGTTGTTCATAGTTACTGCTGATAGATTTTTTTTTTTTCCTGCACAGGCATCTTGGCTTTGAGACTAAAGTTATTCCAGGTTCTAAGCATTCTTCTTTACATTATGGTTTTTGTCTCCCTCCTGAGTTCTTATGCCCCAAAACTAAAAGATACCAATAAATGATCACTGGGCATGCATACATTCAAGCTCTGTTTCTGTGCTGTTTTATATATCGTAGTTACTGCAATATTATAATTACTATATATATTGTGTAGCTGATGAATAATAGCTGCTAAAATCTCATCTTGCTTTAGGAAGTCAGGCAGAATTTATCTTTGGTTTAATTAGAGATGGACAGATTCACTGTTTCAGTATAAGAAAGGATAAGGGGTTGGGTGTAGACAACAAATCTGTTGATGCCATAAGTGATGCTCTACTCCAAACAATCTGAATGGCTCCTTTCCCTTTTTAATGGACACGACTGGACATGATATATGCCACAAGGACATGAATTTTAGGTGTATATTGCACACAGTTAGCAAAAGGTCTGTATTTGCCAATCCTCCCAGGTTAGCCCCTCCTGCTGCTCTGCACTGCTCTCTCACAGAGGCAAGTCTTTGTTGTTGCCTGCTGTTATCACCCTCTATGTGTTCAGCTCAATGCAGATAATCAGTGTTTCCCCCTGTAATAGTGGAAATATTAATAATGGGTTTATGTTCCAGGACAGCACCTTTGTAGCTGAACGTCCCTCAGCGGATGAATCAACAGTCAGCAATGCCGTGCCCTTCGATTACACCAAACCAGACTCTGCTTCAGAGAGTGAAATCCAGCCAAGACCAGGAACCCTGGACTTGGAGGCTGGTTTGGCACCTGAAGCTCCACTCTCCTCAGAGGCTGATGACACTTCTTTACCTGATGGGCTGAATTTAGAGGATGGGAGTCAGACTCCTCATTTGGTCCCTGCACCAGTGTTAGAGCATGATTCTGAGGACTCTCTGGATTGGTTTTCACCCCCCAGTTCTTTAGATGGTATGTTAATGCCATTGACTGGAGCTTAGATTTGGATGCCAGTGTTTCCTGATACTCACCAAATTACAGTTCACCAAAATGACTTTTCAGAAAGGTCTAAAAATTGGATTTCTTTCTCTACTTAGTTCTACCTTTTCTCTATGCATATACTCAAGAAAAATATACCAAGGTAAAATGCTTGTAATAGCTAATAATTCATGTTTATCCCTTTTGGAAATGACACACACATGGTGCTTGTTTAATTTCATAGAATTAATTTTGCATGTCTTGACTTGGCCCATATAATATCTGAATGGAAAGTCAGAGAGGTCAACAGGCGTCCATCTGACTTTGGCATACAAAGGCCAGGATATATTATGGCAAACAGGTGGAATACAGATCTACAGAAAATAAAGTTAATGTAATTTGACCCTTTTTATCATAAACAACAACTAACGTGAAATTTATTTTTATTTTTAATAGTTGAAGATACTGGACCATCTGAAGATCTTTTGCCTTCAAGTCCCTCTCACCTTGTGCCTGAAGAATTTCCATCTACAGATGATTATGCAGTTCCTCTGCTTCCTGCACCAACAGTGGCCTCTTCATCAGTCATAGAGACTGATATTAAAGAAATAGTATCTGCTGAGAAGGAAGAAGAAACTCAAGGTAGTCCTGAGGGCAGTGACAGTGCAGACTCTGTGGAAGAAATTCCTTTTCCCTTAGAAGTGCCCCCTATGGAAGATGAAACTGATATGTTTCTTGGAGATAGAGTTATATATGATGATGGGTCTGGTTCAGCTTTTGATGGTTCAGGAAAAGAAATGGAATCAAGTATCTGGCCTTGGGAAGAAGCAACATTGGAACCAGTTTTCTACCCTGGTCCTGATAGCTGGCTTGAAGATGACAATGAGTCTTTGTTAACCAAAACTGAGGATATTCCTGAAGGCATGATCTTAGACTATATCCTTAACTCTGAGAATAAATTAGATTATGATCCTTCCAAAGATGAGAATGAACGTATAGTCAATATAAAAGATTTCCTTGATGAGTCTGAAATATTTGTCTTTCCAGAAACTACAACTCCGCCAGTACCTCTGTTACAGACAGAAGAGCCATCATCTGTGGAACCATCTACACAGGCAGAAACACCGGGCATGTATGATTCCTCTTTTGTTAAACCATCCTTGGTTTTGGAGCCTTCAGTGGATCATTCCGCTGTAGACATGCCAACCAGAGAGGTGCCTGTCTCACCACAGTACACAGATCTGTCTGTGGAAGATCATCTACTTACATCTACAGGGACTGTCAGTATGGAGCAACCTGAAGAGTCAAGCATAGATCAGAACATAATTTCTGAAGAAACTGAACAGCAAAAGGAAGACAGGACAATGGTAGAAGAACTATACACAGTGAAGCAGCCAGATGTAATGGAAGCTGCTACAATAGGACACTTGGACACAAGCTCTTCAGGAACCATTCTGACTGCGGGTCCTTCCATGATAAAGCCTGATGCTTCCACAGAAGAGCAGCAAGCCCTAGATTCATCATTGGCAGGCCAAGACACTACTGGGTCAACAGTGAAGAGACCAGCTGATGTTTGGCCTACTGACAGAACACTAGAAACCTCCTTAGATCAGGCAGTGCAATTAGCAACGCCAGCTGCCCCTCAAGTTTCAACTGCAGTTCCTTCTGTAATAGATCAGACCACTGTCCTGGAAGACTTCGCTGGGCAGGGTGGTACAGACCACGTTTCCATGAGCTTCAGCACTGCTGTGAAGTATGAAACAGTGAGAGTAACAAGCCCTGCTGAGCTTCCATCCCATCTCCCTCCTGTGGGATCCACAACGTCATTGTCTGTGGCTGCCTCAACAAAGCTGGGGGATGAAGCGACAAGAGCCCTGGATGTTTCAGTAGACCTGGATCGTGTGAGCACTGTCCACTTTTTTCCTGAGCAGACTGAGGAGGGAAGGAGAATGACCGAAAGTCACATGGAGCTAACAACTCGCATCCAGTCCACAGAGATGGCCAGTGTGGCTTGGGCCACACACGAAACTCACTACAGCAGTACTGTCCCGTCCCGAGCTCTAGTTGTGTTTTTCAGTCTTCGGGTTACCAACATGATGTTTTCAGAGGACCTCTTTAATAAAAACTCCCCTGAATACAAAGCATTGGAACAGCGATTCTTGGAACTGGTAAGAATCACTTCTATACTAAATGTTCAGGACCAAATAGATACAAATTGTTGGTAATGATATTTAATAGTCTCTCTTACAAAACTGGTATGTACAGATATGATTTGTGTCCCTCCATGAGAAAATTCTGTTTGGAAACAGGTGGTGGGATGTTTGTCTTTTATTTATTCAATATTCTCTCTAAAGCAGAACTTTTTAGTTCACTTTTTAGTGATGGGGTAACTTTTCTGCTACATGTTCAACCTATCCTAAGAGGTGATTCAGGGAGCTAAGCTCTTCCTTCCCTGGCTGATGACTAGCAAAGCCTCACAGGAGTTATACAGCAACGACTGCCAAGTTGTAACTGGGAAATTCACCTCTTCTGACTGAAATGAACCAGTAAATTAACTTTTTTTTTGTGGGAGATAAGGGAACAAAACAGAGAGGGGGAAGTGGGACATGCTTGAAGGAGGAACTCTGTGAAATAGCGATTATGGCTGGTGCTCAGATCAAGGGAGAACACGATTTATGTCCTGAGAACTGTGTTTCTCACTCATAAGCTTTTAGAAACTATCTGACAATTGGTACACTCTTAAGAGATGCCTGAAGTACTCAGGCTCCTGGCTGGCTGCCAGCACAGAACTCTTTTGGGTAAAGGTTAATGCCTTTGCTGCGGGATTTGGATAAAGTCATTCAGACTCCCGCTGTCTGATGCAGTAACAGTGGAATGGAATTGAGTAGAGAAAGATTAAAAGATTCAGCTTTTCTGTCACATCCCCTGTGTTGCAGCTGGTACCCTACCTTCAGTCAAATCTGACGGGATTCCAGAATCTGGAAATCCTGAACTTCAGAAACGGCAGCATTGTGGTAAACAGCCGAATGAAATTTGCCAAACCTGTGCCTCGGAATGTCACCAATGCTGTGTACTTGATCCTGGAAGACTTCTGCAACACTGCATATCACACCATGAACCTGGCCATCGATAAATACTCCCTGGATGTGGAATCGGGTAAGGACAGCAGGGAAATGCAGTTTAAAAGCAAGGGATTTAAAACAATTTCTGCTTTAAGTACTAAGGATCCCAGCAGCTCAGAGACTGCCCACTGATTTTCATAGGCTGGGCTTTAGAAACACAATCTTTCAGAGTTCAAACAAACAAATAAAAATCTGTTATGGGACTAAAGAGACGAAAATAAAAGTGGGAGTCCAAGCAAGCTGTATGGGATCCCTATAGAATTATGGAGAAAAATTCACTCATGTAATACTCTGAACAATGCCACTGCACTTTACCTGGAGAGTGAGGGAGTAGCCTGCTCAGGTAGAACAGTAGTGCCCCTCTCTCTTGTGTTTAGTTTCATGTGTGGTTTGAACTCATTCCATGTGGTTACTCCGACAGGTGGTAGCCAGTTTAGTTGCCAGGTGAGCATCTGCACAGGTAACAGCTGCTGCCTCATTCTTGTGGTAAGGTCTTGACTGCACTAAATAGTTGCAGGCCCTCTTAGTTCACTCCTCTGATACAGGGAGAAAGTTTTTTCCTCTGTCCAATTAGTCAGTAGTTTACCAGATAAGTAACTCGAAAATATTTCCTGTTTTAAGGTTAGAGAAAAACAAGAGTGCTGACCTGTTGGCAAATGGTAACTGTTCTTCACAGGTAGCTCTCCTAAAAAGATGGTCTAATTAGCATGAGAAATCTTCTGATGTTGATCATTTAGGTGTATGCCAGCCTCTTAAGCTTGATACAAGTGAGATATCTTGAATGCTCTAAGCTTATGTTCCTTGCAGACAAAAAGGCAAATCCCCTTACAGAAGATGATGAGTGCCCCAAGTCCCACTGCCTTTCCCTAAATGCTGCCTAAGTGTTCTATAGCAAGAAATACTGGAGTTCAGCTGTGTTTTACTCATTTGCAAAATGTAGTTCCAGCAGAGAGAGAACATATGAGGTACTGCATGTTCCAATAAGAAAAAGATCACTTTATGTACTCAGTTTTTCAATTGCTTTGTTGGGTGGTCTTAGCTGTGCACTGGCATGCACTGTGCAGACAGAGGAATCCTTGCTAGTGCTTTTTCACCTTAGCAGAACCTTTTGTTACTTGGGAAAGATGCAGACTGGATTTTTGTGGATTAACTAAGAGACCATTGGAGAAAATGGCACCGGACAGCCAGCACTTTGCCTCAATTGAGGTTCTCCTCTATCATTAATATTTTCTGCTCTGTGTATTGTCAGGTGAGCAGGCAGATCCCTGCAAGTTCCAGGCCTGCAATGAATTCTCCGAGTGCTTAGTAAATCGCTGGAGTGGAGAAGCTGAGTGTGTCTGCAATCCTGGCTACCTGAGCATTGACGGGCTGCCGTGCAACAGCATTTGTGATCTGCAACCAAACTTCTGCCTGAATGATGGGAAGTGTGACATAAGCCCTGGGCAGGGGGCCATCTGTAGGTAGGTCATCCTGCTGTTTGAAGTTGTGCTTCCGGTATGAAAACCCTTTATTGTCTCCTGTGTTGTAGCATTCTACAAGATTTGTCTAAAATTCTGTACAATAATGCATGACAAGTGAGGAGATATTATCACTCACATTGTGCTGCTGTGTGCAAGTCCCAATATTAACATTAGTTTTTCTTTGTATGTATCAGAAATGAGACAGTAACTGAATAGAAACATCAGGAAATAAACTAACTATTTAGAAAAAATGGTTGCACACTCAGTTGTTCAAATCACTTGTGTTGACCTTTGCTACTTCACAGAACCTTTGGAGATAAATTCTGTCCTCAAAGTGTTAGATAATGTCATATAACATATAGTAGTTAATCCCATCACAAAAATTCATACCTGAAAGGCAGAATGATAGAGAACAAATATATTAAATATGATGCTTTCATTTAAGAAAATCTTAAAACAGTAAATATTGGACATTTGGGAAAAATAGTGTGTGATTCATAAAGGGATCAAGGCACAGGCCCCATAGTTCAAATTTTTGCTTAAATATGTATATAGATGCATCTGAACAGGATTGCTGTATTTTGCAGGTAATGGAAAAGACTTAGTACAATATACAGACAAATTGATGCTGCTGCTGACACTGCACCTAATTTTTACTTTTCAAGCAAAGTAGTAGTCTATTTTTAAAAGGAAAATATACCTATCAACAAAAGTTGAGAGAATTATTGCAAAGAAGAATATTATTACTAGTAGTTATTATTTATGTTATTTCACGTGATTTTCTTTTTAAAGCTTACTAGAACATCTCTCAGGTCAGATTCCTAGTATTTAACAGAAGAAAAAAAGGTTTGAAAACTATAAAAGTGGATACTATCACAGATGTATTATAGCTTGAATCATATTTGTGTAATAGTGTTAATTAGAAGCAGGTAAGTATCTGAAATCCAGCATGTTCCAGCCTGTATTTATTAAGAACTTTCTGAAAAAATTGAAGTATTGCTTGCTACTTTCAGAATCTATTTCGGATAATTATGTTAGGAAACTTAATTTACCGATGTTTCTTATGAATAAGATTCATTGCTGTGTCATAGCACCTTAGAATTCCTGAGTTTTTATAATAAAAACTCCCAAACACACATAATGCAAATACATTATTTTTTCTGGTATTTTTAAAGTCAGTATTAATGTTAAACTTCTCATATTTAAAACCAGAGTAAGGCAAGAATACTGAATACTGCTTTGAGCAACCATTCCAGAGATAGACTCTTGAACACACACTTCTTTCTATCATTTATTTTAAGTATCTATTTACCAAACCATTGTGGAGTTCACTACACTATTTTGTTCAGTTAACACACCTTCATTTGTATTTGCATTACAAGATGATAAAGACAACTGCTTTATCAGTTGTACAGTATTTGATATGTCACATCCAAGGCTCACTCAAGGCAGGACTTTTTACTTAGTCTAAACATCTTCCAGTTTTAACAAATCAGAGGATACTCTAAACTGCAAAAACCACAGACTTTTTCCATCCCAAATACACTATGCTCTTACTCTTTTACCTACCTTCATGAAATTCAGTAATTGGGATAGTTCCTCCTGGAGAAGAGAAGGCTCCTGGGAGGTCTTCCTGTGGCCTTTCCATATTTAAAGGGGGCTTATAAGAAAGATGAGGACAAACTCTTTATCAGGGCCTGTTGCAACAGGACAAGGTTTTAAACTAAAAGAGGGTAGATTTAGACTAGATATAAGGAAGAAACTTTTTACAATGCTGGTGGGGAAGCACTGGAACAGGTTGTCAAGAGAGGTGATAGATGCCCCACCCATTGGATTGGATGGGGCTCTGAGCATCCTGGTCTAGTTGAAGATGTCCCTGCTTATTGCAGGGGTTTGGACTAGATGGCTTTTGAAGGTCCCTTTCAACCAAAACTGTTATATGATTCTATACCAAAAAGAGTGTTGGCAATAATAATAATGAAGAAAATTTCTGATTGAACAATGCAAACATATTTATTGAAGTGACCTAACTGAGGGCACACCCTAACAGAAAGTTAAATACATTAACCAAAGCTTTTGCTGGTGCTTAATTTCCCTGTGTTTCTTTGTGGCAGGTGTCGTGTGGGAGAGAACTGGTGGTACAGAGGGGAGCACTGTGAAGAATATGTGTCTGAGCCACTGGTTGTGGGGATTGCAATTGCTTCTGTGGCAGGATTTCTTCTTGTGGCATCTGCTGTCATCTTCTTCTTGGCCAGGACCCTGCGAGACCAGTATACAAAGAGTGACAGCGGTGACTCACAGGGGTAAGTGACGCCGTCTAATACTTTGGAGCACATCAGCTGCAATGAGGATAATTCTGTCGTAAGTCTTATATCACACAGTTGACAAGCAACAGGATGTACAGGCGCCTCCAAATGCCAGGCTTCCTGAGTCTATCTGCTGCCCTTCCAGGCTGCAGAGAAGCTCACAGTTTGTTTATTGCTCCCCCAGGCAGGGTGACAGCCTCTCGTCCATTGAGAATGCAGTTAAATACAACCCCATGTATGAAAGTGATACGACTGGCTACAGCCATTATTACCGGAGATATCCTCAGCTAACGTCCTACAGTTCTACCAGTGCAGAGACATCCACAGACTACAGCAGTGAAGAGATCAGGCACATTTATGAAAACAGTGAGCTTACTAAGGAGGTAAATAACCTTATTTTCATAGTGTCATGGGAAAGATCATGTAAACAGTAAGCTTGTTCCACACTTCTAACCTCCGAGGTGGGCCCAGTCTTTCCCCAGTGTCTATGATCTAGACAAAGAAAATGCAACCATGACTGCTGCAACTACTTAAGAGAAGACAGAAAGCTTTTCTTTTCCCTGCTTGCTTTTAGGCATAGAGAAAGGAACGGGTTTGTTCTGAACTGTAATGAATTTCACATAAAAAAGGAGCTGACTCCTTAAGTGACTTCATGGGAGTTGGGAAGGTTTAATGTGTTGCTCAACACAACCTTTACCTTTTAATGCCAACTATCTTATGTAAGAGTAGTTACACAGCGAAAAACTGGTACATCCAGGTCTTTTCACAGGGTTTTTTGTTTTGGGTACTTTTTGATGGTTTTTAAAGTTTAGGTCTTTCTATAACCTGCAAGTTAGATCACACCCTTCTCTGATTTCATTCTGAATACACAGTATCCAAGGTTTACTCTAGAAAGCTAAAAAGAAGGGATTTATTTACATCCTGGAACTAACCACATATCCTTAAGCAATTGTGAGAGGGGTGAAACCACCATGTCGCTGGACTGGTAGGCGAGGTATCTGTGAGAGATAAATGGTTTGTTAAAGCCTGTTGAAATAACACATTCTATCCAAACCCTGGTTTTGATATAAAAGTGAAGTACTACTGAATTCAAACAAAGTGCTTCACTTAAAAAACAAACAAACAAAGAAACAAAAATCAACAACAACACAAACCCCACAAAGTGTCGGAGTGCACAGTTTCAAGCTCTACTCCTTGAAGCAGCAATGCACAGGAGTTTTATTTTCCAAAAACCAGAAAACAGCTATTTCAGTAATATTCTAGTTTCTATTGCGTATTTACAATTCTGTGTCTTGTATTCTAGGAGATTCAGGACAGAATTCGAATTATAGAGCTCTACGCTAAGGATCGTCAGTTTGCAGAGTTTGTTAGGCAGCATCAAATGTGAGTGAAATGTCTTGTCTGCATATCTAACTCCTTTGATGTTTTCTCCTGTGGCCTTTACTACATTACTGTATTTTTTAAGGGTCTAGAAACTCTGGGACACTAGAGGCTAAGATTTCTACATTATTTTTGAAGAGGTTCAACCCTTTTAAAATACTTGATAATCACTGTTAAAAGTAGACAGCCCCAGAGCTCTAACATTAATTTAGGTCCTTGAAAGCATAGATAGAACCTTCTTAACTCTACCGATGTGTCTCCCATTGCCTAGTGTTCTACTTAAACTAACATGCTTTTAAAATTTCTACTTTATCTTGAGTTCTCAAGACTTGGCAACTAAACCAAGACCTGACAGACCACAATCCTGTCTGGTATGGTGCGCTCCTGCCATTATAGAAAATTTACAATTCCAAACAATTAACCAATCTGAGCTGAGTGCTTTGATGAAAGCTAAGCAAGAAAAAGGTCATCAAGGAATGATCAAGAAATTATTAGCATACGCACTCTCATGAACTGTACTCACACTAGAGCAAGCAGCAAATCACAGCTTGCTGAGGTAGTTTGAAAGATACTGTAGTAAAATTCCTTGGGATTCTGTTAAAAATAGCTACAGTAGCAAAAAAAGTTGTTCTCAGATCTTCAGCTGTAATCTTTTTTAATTAAAAATAACAGCAGTTCACATTTTTCCATGTCAGTAGTTAATTTTTTCATCTTGAAAAGGATCAGCATCTGAATTTTCCACAGCTGGAAAGTAGTAAGGGCTGTCTTATATAAGCCTGGAATCCAGTGTTTGAAATAGATGAACTTAATCATTCCTTCTCTGTTTTTCATTTCAGGAAGCTGCTTTAAGAAAAAAAGAAATTGATAGAATACACGTGGGAGATAAAGACTACCTTGTTGCCACAGCAATGTGCTCAGATGTAACTGCAAAGTTACTTATAGTCTTAACATTGCATGGATGGATACAGATGTTTTCTAAATGAATGACTAAAATGTACAGATGTCTGTTTATCTCAATTACTTCTGGCTTTTCCGTGTAAAGTGACGTTTTTGAGAGGTGATCAGAAGTGGCAGAGGTTACGAAAGTTCATTTTTCTTTAACTCCAAAATGGACAGTGAAAGTTTTGTACACAAAGGCAAAAAAAAAAAAATCTCCTCGGGTAAGAGAAGATACGTGCACAACCAAAATAAAATACTCATTGAAAACCCCTGTCTGGCATTTATCCCCTCACTGGAGGCTCCAGTAGTGATTTCACGGGTATAAAACACTAGCGGAAAGAAACATTTGATTTGCGAGGGGAGGAGTTGTAGGGGAGGCCTGTTGTGCTAGAATTATGTCAGCATTATTGTAAAGCATTCCCGTTAGCAACACAAACATAACCTCGCTGGAAAAATTTTCCTTCTGTACAGATGCCTGATGTATGTTTTGCCACCTGGCATTAGCAAAACAGATGACAGCGCTGAGCCTGCAGGCCTCCTGAGGGCTCTCCCCAGCAATCAGCATTCCCACTGCCTGGGACCCCCAGCAGTGCTGCAGTGCAGTGTCTTCAGAGTCAGGATGGTTGGTTCTCCAGCTGTTTCTGGCAGACACACCAACTGAGGCACAGAAGGGCTTCTATCGTACATTCTGTGAGGCTTAAGTGACTAACATTGACCTTTTCTTTGTATGTAGATAATTGGTTTCACATTTTGTAAGTTAATATGCGTTATTTATTTGTTGTGTTTCCTTACCAGCTTATTTTCATCATGGATTTAATCATTGAAATAGAAAGATGGCTAGTTTTAATGATGAAATGCTACAGTGGCATTTGTGCCCATCCTTTTATATATATTATATTTAGTGTTTACTTAGTGTTGAATTGAGCCAACTAATACTTGTATTTTCTTTACCGAACTTGGCAATAGCCTTCCATGAGCTCTCTTTCAAAATCAGGCTGTAGTATTTAAGTGCATCCATATTTGGTAGGTTGCAACACTTCTCTATGGGGAAGGGGAAAGGTGAGATTATTCTTAGTTTAGTGGAAATCAGCATGGAATTCCTTAAACAGAAGAAGTCAGCCTGAAGCATTTTAAAACAACTGAAATGAGAGGTACAGAAATGGAGTTTTACCTTCAAGTTATGAAGAGAGTTCTGACTACATGCTAAGGTGTGTTGGGGCTCTGTTCAGTCACCCAGTGATGCTTGTTTAAGGCATTAACACAGCTGCCAGGGTTAGGGGACAATTATGATCACATTTTCTTATGCAAGCAAAAATGGCCAAGTTATTTATTTCTACGATGTCTGTAGTTCTCGGCCCACATGTGCCAACAGCCACCTGATACTTTTTAGTATCTTTAGTACTTTTATTAGTAGTGAGAATTACTTGATTGTCTGTAGGCAGCTTAGCTAAATAACTGGATATTTCAATGCAATTCTTTTACGTGTCCCAGAGAACCTCACTGGATCCCTGTTGTAGTACCTTCTTGCCTTGAGTGGCAGGGGATGGGTATCAGAGCCACACATTTGTCTAAGAAATGCTTACATAAACCACTGTAAGCCAAAATAATGCCAGACAGCAGTAAGTAATATGGTGCTGCTCAACACTTTTTTGACCAGATGTTATGAGACAGAGGTCCCATTCTACTGGGCGGCCCAAGGGCTGTCAGAGCAGCTGGTCCAGAGTTTCTGAGGCACAGCCCACTCCTCCTGGCCCTGCAGCAGCATGGCTGAGCCATCCTGTGACACCAGGGCCTGTGATCATAGCAGAGAAGTCCTGGGCTCAGGGTAGACATCAGCCTGTGACTTCTTTCTGTGCAGCTCAGCTGCCAGCCCTGGGAGCTTCAGTGCTGCTCCTGCCACGTGCAGCACTGGATGGCAGCTGGGATCAGGCGTGTTTAAAAGGTATTTTAGTATTTTCTATGCACAAGCTGAGAAGAGGCTTGGTTACACTGAGTATGAGGTATTTCAGTGTATATACAGTGATATTTTCTTTGTGTGTGTGTATACATATGGACATGGCAGTATCTTTTCACAACAATAAAAAATTATTTCCAAAATATTTTTTCTATAAAATTCATGCAGAGACTAAGAGTTGGACACGGATAAGGCATCTTAGCCATGACCATTCATGCATGTAGGACCAGAAAGTCTGTTTTTTGTTTGGGTTCTTTTTTTCAGCTGTTAAACTCCTTTGCTAACAAAAATGCCAAATGCAGTTCAATAACACATGTGAGATTGTAATCTAAATATTCATTCTGGAAAACACATACCTGAGTACCTTGCTTTTAGTGAAACTGTTTGCCCATTTTGAAGATGTTTTGTCCCTAATCAAAGAGTCAAAGCATGTCATTACTAAGGTGATCTCGAAATCTTAATACATAAACCGACCCCCCTTCCTTCAAACCTCTTCACCTGAACTGTTTGGTGATGCATCTTGCAACACGCCAAGACCTTACTGAATGACTGACTTTCTTTGATGTTTTCCCAATCTAAGTCAGAGATAAGAACTCTAAATATCCTAACCAAAAAAAAAAAAATAAAAAAAGTCCAATCCAAACCAGCTCAATGTACAAATCTACCAGTCTGTTATCAGTTAACATGCAGTTTTTTGGTTGCTAAAAGTTAAAAATGCAGGTTTGAATGACTTGGCTTAGTATAAGAGCATAAAAAGCAGTTATTGTTTACTGATCACTGACAGGTCTATCAGCATCTGTGGCCCTCCTCAAGGCTTGAACACAGAATAAAATAAGGCCCTGCAGAACACTACCAGCTGCCCCTTTAACAGGAGGTCTCAAACATAGAGCAACTCATGGTTTTTTGTATTTTCTATTTAGTATTTGCAGCATATCTACTGCATAAGCTACTAAGTGCAAGTTCTACCTATACTATTCCTGGGGTCTCTCAAGGCCTTCCCTGGTGCCTCAAAGCACCAGTCCTCCGTGGCAGAATTCTACCAGAGCTGGAAATTCAAACAGAAAACAGGTCTTCTTAGTTTCAAGACTAACAGCATTTCAGGAACTGTGTGCTTGTCTTTTATTTGGTAGCTTTTTAGCAAAGCACAAAGCCTTGGCCACCAAAAAGCTTATAGACATTGAGAAACTGAGTATCTCTTCTATTAAGCTCCAGGCTTCGTGTACTGCTGTGTAACAATTTGATCCCAGAAAGCAGATTTTTTTCGGGTCCTCAGAGGTAGCTGAAACTATGAATTTCTCATCTCCAGAACAGGGAAGCATAAATAAACTTGTTGGATTTTTAAGAACTTACAGCTTAAATGTTAAAATGGAAAAAGTCTTTAACAATCAAGACTTTCACTCATGTTCCTCATCAGACCTGCTGGAATCAGTCCTTGTTGTGAATGGCTGCTGAAGGAATCATCCTATTAAAACACAAAGCAAAAATATTCACCAAGACCAATTTGTCTGTCTATCTGTAAGCATTGTAGGACAGACACAGACTGACTTTGTACAGCATATGAAATGTGCCAGGGCATTCTTACTGCTTAAAAATTAGTAGAAAGCACACAGGACTTTTCATGGCCCTTTGTTTACTTGAAGTGTACTATAACACCAACAGTATTTCTGTCTTTCCACTACTTGATCCATTTTGGGAACAGATGTCTTATGTTCTATGTAACACCAATCCATCTGCTTTTGTTTCTCAACTGAAAAAAATTAATTCCAAAGCTGTTTCTGGGATAGGAATTTTTTTCATTTGTCAGTCCAAATAGGAAGGGTTTGGTATTACCATATTCAACACTAATTGGCTCTCCTCCTCTAGACTGTTAATAACCCCAAGAAATCTTAGTTGAGTTCCTGTCCTCTTAGACTCTTGCCCTTGCTGCTTCTCACTCTCCTTGCTGGGTCACCCACTCCAGTGAGTAGTGGGAAATACATTCATGGCAGGCAGCTTCTCTTGGAGGATGGCAGCAGGTTGCAGGACTAAAATGATGTATTGCCTGAGGTGCTACAGCTGTTCTGAAGGAGTCAGCTGAACACCACCTCCAAACCTGCACTTTCAGTTATCCTGTGTTTCCAATTAAACACAAAACCAGATTTCAACTCTCATTTGTTCCAGGAGGAGAAATACCCTCAATCCTGGAAGTTTGTGGGACAGATGCCAATTTATTATATTTTTTAAAAAATCAGTTTTACCATCAGCACATCTAAGGACTATGTTCCTGTACTAAATGTATAAGTTGGTGTAAATTACACTTAAAGCCCAAGCTTTTGTAAGGGGACACCAGCCCACCTGCAGCTCCCATTTATACAATCAAAACAACAAAAAAATACTATCTGTCTTGAATCACTGGAGGTTTAAATGTTGTTCGAAAATCTCAAATTAAACACAAATCAGACTTAGTGCTAACTGGAGTTGCGATTGCATCTCCACAGCTGATTACCAGATGGGGAAACTATGCCTTTCTGGAAAGGCTGACGTAGCTTGAGCAGAAATGAAAATGGGAACAATACTGGATACAGCCATACATCAAAACTTTATGCAGTAACATGGGCATGTGTCTGGATAAAAGAGGGCAAGTGAAGAGGTAGATTGTCAGAGGTGAGCCTACAAGCAATCCCAAGAGTAAAAGATTTCCATCTAGTCGTTAAAGACAGCTTCAAGGAAATTCACTCAGCTCCACCTAAAGGGATTATATGATCTCTCATCCCAGAAAGGGAGGGGAATGCAAAACACTTCCAGCAGCAGTGCAGGGCTTGAGTCTCCCAGCATGACCTACAGGTAACTGCTGGCTCAGTTCACTGCTCACAGTTCCCACCATCTGCTCAGTAAGGGAGTGGCTGTTGTTCCCATCCCTAGTTTGAGATGGGAAGATCAGGATTTTTTTATCCACAAAAATGCTTTATACAGTTCTCCAGTAAACCAGAGACTTTTATTTTCCCCATCTTTTATTATTTCTTCTTTAAAGTTTTGATTAAAAAACTCAAACCAAAACACACCACCATAAAAAAAAAAAACCAAAAAAAAGAAAATCAACACAACTTTACCACACTTATTTTTAGGGTTTTCTTTCTGCCTCCTTCCCTTAGGCATGAATGGAAAGCCACAGCCATGCTGGGAAGGCAGTGTGGTGTTACAGAGCTCTCACATGTGGAGTTCTCACTTTGGTCTTCTTGCCACCACAGTAGCATTTATAATGCCAGCACATCCATATCTGCTTAAAAGAACA